GATGAAGACACGTGCCCGTTAATCTTGACACAGCTATTAATTCCACCATACAGTGTTTTTACATGCCTTATAAATACATCTCCAAAACCAAAGTGCTTAAGTAATACAAAAAGGTAGTCGTGCGAGACCCTGTCGAAGGCCTTAAGTGCATCTAATTTAAGAATATAGCAGGGTTTCTCCTCCGCTTCAACATAATCTATAATGTCTCTAATCGTGGCTATATTATTTATGATATCTCTACCTGGAATACAACAAGTTTGGTTAGGGGAAATTAAGCTTTCTATAACATTTTTAAGTCGTAGGGCTAGTGTTCGAGCATAAATTTTATAATCGACATTGAGTAAGCTGATAGGGCGCCAATTTTTAAGCTCTCTTCTGTCTCCTTTTTTCTTGTAGAAAAGTGATATAACCCCTCGCTTCATTGATTTGGAAAGTTCCTGGTTTAATTGAACATGCTTGAGGACATAGTGTAGAATAGGGCCTATTTTGTCCCAGAACTTGAGATAAAACTCTACTGTTAATCCGTCGCAGCCGGGTGACTTTTTGGTTTTCATCCCTTTCAGGCAACTATGCAGTTCAGCGAGGGTTATATCGTTATCGCATGATTCAGAGGCCCGGACGGACAGTTTGGTATTGATTTTATCTAATACAACATTTTGATCGCAATTTCTTAGAGGTTCGTTTTTATAGAGCGTTTCGTAAAATAGTTTGCACTCATGTACTATATCTATTGTTTCTTTAAGTATGCTACCATCAGAACTTATTAGATTTTTTATACAATTGTTTTCCTGGTTTCGTTTCTCGAGATTGAGAAAATATGATGTACAACGATCGTATTCTGTGGCGTCCATACATTTTGAGCGTAAGATAGCCCCCTCACATTTATTTAGTTCGTGGATCTGTAATTCACTTTGTAATTCGGATATTAGGTCATGGTTACCGTGTCCATTTTTCGCAATTTTTCCTCTCTCTAACTCGAGGCGTCTTTGAATATTCCAAAAATTCGATTTTTCTTTATTTCGTTTCGCTATAGAATATGTTTTTGAAGCTTGTTTTATTTTGTATTTGAGATTATCCCACCAGATTAGTGGATCTGCACAGTATAGATCGTTGTTTAATTGTTCAGATATAAGGTTTTGTACTATTTGTATATATTGTTGATCAAGTAAAAGTTTGTTGTTTAGAATCCAGAGTCCGGGTCCACGTTCGAAGTTATCAAAATTTGTTATTGCACATACCATACTATAGAACATTAGCACGAAGTGATCTATTCGCAAGAATATAATCGAGTCTGCTCATTTTATTCGTGTTCTGTACGTTCTGGATACGGGTAAAAACAATTTTGTCCGGGTGTTTGTCCCTCCATATGTCTACCAGATCATTATCCTCGATTAATTGATTAAAGCTTTTAGAGCCTATAGCGTTTGTGTACATATTCTGGCATCTCTCTTTATTCTTATCCAACACTTCATTAAAGTCTCCACACAAAAAGAGTTCCCTCGTCGCGTCGAGGTACGAGGGTATATTAATTTTGAAAAAATCCACCCTTTCCTTATAGTCGTTAGGAGCGTAAATTGATAGGATAGACAGTTTTTTTTTCAAAGATATCGAGGTCTACTCTTACAATTCTACCCTCGTCATCATTGGCAGAATGAACCACACAAGTTTTAAATTTTTTATTTAAAAAAATCGCTACGCCGCGCGCGCCATTTATTGTTAAAGTTACTACAAAAGACAGGGTCGTCCCATAGGTTTTTAGCGTAATTAATAATATCGTCGTCGAAGAATGTCTCTTGTAGACATGCTATATCACAGTTTAATTCTTTTATGTAGGTAATAATGTTCAATAGTTTTTGACTATCCCGCAGGCCATTAGTGTTCCATGAGATGATTTTGGGCATTGAGTGGTGTATATATAATGGTGGTCTTTATGTTAGATGATCGATTCTTGACCGTAGCGATTTGATACTGGTATACCTTTATATTTTTTTATCGTATTGAGGTTTCGTTGATTCGTCGGCTGAGGACGATATTTGTCGTTTTTTATCTCCATTGCGGGAGTCTGATTGATTTTTCAGTTTATTGGCTCGTTCAAGGCGATTAGCCGTTATTTCATTGACCGTATTTTTCTCTGGCTTTAATTTATTCAATTGTGTATTGTATCTAAGTCTTGAGCTCCTATTTTGATTAGCCATGTATTTTTGTTACTGGGGCGAGTCCCCTTCGCCGTCGGCTTCGTACCTATATTCAGATTGGCTTTTAACCCCTTCACTTGGCATTTCAGGATCGCAACCCGCGTTATCAATGTGTTTTAATTCAGTTGTGTTAACTTGATTGTTTATACAAGTGTTGAGAGGCTCGTTCGTCTTAGTCGCGTCAGTATTTGTAATATTATGACCTTCGACCTCTTCTATTGTTTCACTAACTATGCTACTCTGATCTGTGTTCACTGGGCAGTTACAACAATACTGATTACAATGTACACACTGTGATTCAGTACAGAATCGTTTTGTGTGGCCGATTTTATTACACTTAAAACAAGTATATTCAGGACATTTTTTAATGTCATGCCCACTTTTTAGACAGTTAAAGCATACGCGTGTTTGATCATTATGCTTTACATAGAATGATCTTCCATCGAATCGGGTGGCATACGGAAGGCTTGTGACTTCAGGGGGAAATTTTACTCGGAGATAGCGAGTGCCATCGGCTATTTTCCTTTCGCCGTGATCGTAGAAACGTTGTCTTATCTCGCTTATTGGAGTGACATTCCATGATTTAAATTATCAAAAATATCTTCATCTGACACATAATGAGGTATATTCATAAATGACACTATTAGAACTTTATAGCCGATCAGCATTACTGACAGTTGAATATCATTCATAAGAACTCCTTCTTTCACTAATTTGTCTAATTCTTCTTGATTACTAAGTGTAACTTCGTAGTATCCGTTCATTGGAACACATGCAATTACTGAGCAATAACCACTCACCTTTTCGATCGCATCTATGAAATCGCCTATAACAAATTTCTCTGAAGAAACGATTTTAATAGTACATTCTTTTAGACGTTTAAAGTTCATTATCGATGTATTATCATTATCAGCCATGATTAACTAACCTAAACATTAGATGTTAATATATACTTCAGTTGCTAGTTGGCTGTTATAAACACACGGTGAGCAGAGCAGCTCGGAAAGACGTCTTCACACCTCGAGCTCACCAGTCGAATCGCGAGTATTCTACCACTAGACCACCGATGCTTGACGGCCAATCCCTGGCGGCGGCCGTACAGGTCTCGATATCCCGATGGCGTTGCAGGGCGACGCGAGGAGCGAGCGAAGTAACTCCTGGCACGCCAGCCGTCAACCAGGAACAACAAAATCATAAGCCATTTTGTGTATGTGATTAAATTTTTAAAAACTGTTGGACCCTTACACAAATTTGGAGTTATTTTGTCTCGTGATCTGATACCATGCGGGGGATTGGATGGCTGAATGGTTAGCGTGCGCGCGCTGTATCATAAAGTCGACTGGCGTGGTTTCGAATCCCCGGTTGTACGTGACAAGGAGTAGGGTCGCCTGTCCAACCTCGCGGGTTTTCTCCGGGTCCTCCGGTTTCCTCCCACTGCTAAAGACCCCTCTGATATCATGCATTGTGGATTATATGTACATGTAGCTTATTTTGTAGTTCTGTGTTAAGACCCGAACAAGAATGGGAGGTTGGATGGCTGAATGGTTAGCACGTGCGCGCTGTATCATAAAGTCTGTTATTGAGTCGTCTGGCGTGGTTTCGAATCCCCGGTTGTACGTGACAAGGAGTAGGGTCGCCTGTCCAACCTCGTGGGTTTTCTCTGGGTCCTCCGGTTTCCTCATACTGCTAAAGACCCCTACGCGCAAGCGAATTATGGAAATAAAACTGAACCATATGTTAGTCCCGAAATGACCTAGTTTGTGTCTAGTGGACGTTAAACCCCATTTCTCTCTCTCCACACAAGAATAGTGTTAGTGACATTGAACGGGAGCTTTTGTTGGCAACTTTATAGTGGCTTTTGTCAACGATGTCTTGTTTCTTAACAATAATGTAAAACCTAGAATGGACCTTTTTGATTATATTATTGACGATAAATTCTCTCGACAGTTTATTGTCAATATTAAGGCCAAGATTTTTGACACGACTTGTATGAAAGTTACTGACTATAGTCAGTCTTACCTAAATGAAAATGAAATGAAATGAAATGGAGTTTAACGTCCTACTGTTCTGCTCCGAACTGGGCTAATGAAAACGGGCATACGCCATACAGTGTGCTATGAGGAAAATTTTGCCCGGACAGCGGCACTACGACCTACTCTTATATCAAATTCCAACTATCAAGGGATCTTTTACGAGCACGCCAATGTGTACACGGGACCTCGGTTTTTCGTCCCATCCGAACGACTAGACAGTTGTCCTTGTCATGCCCTCAGTTCTGACAAGGGGAATCACGCCGGAAAATCTGGATGAACTTTCTCGGCCAATGCAGGAATCGAACACCCGACCTCCAGGATAGCGAGCCAGTGTGACCCCTTACCTAAATGGAGAAACATATTATGAGAAGTGGTTTCATGATTTTTATGTGAATAATATAAATTCACACTGTGATCGGCATAAAGTATGAGATTACAGGCAGCAGCATGCTTATAACACGGGAACATACTACCCTGAGGGACACCGCATGTGACTTTTGATGGATAGGAAACTGTGTTGCCCACCGTTAAAACCTGTTGTGTATCAAATATACAATAATTGCGAGTAAAGAAATAAACGACAAAGGACACCTACCCGGATCTTTAATGAATAAATTATTAAACCGTAATATGTTGCATTATAAATAATCTTGTGTCAGGTTACACAACGTCAAAAATAGAAATTGCACCTTTGTTTTATTTTTAAAAATATCCATTATTAACGTCTGAATAGATGATTGTATGGTTGGTTTGTTGGCTGGTGTATTGACTATATAACGCAGCTTGGTTTATTTCAATTGGGTCACGTTAAACGCCTTTTCATTTTATTTTATTTCAGTTGGGACGCCATGACTTTATAACGTAGTAGATGCGTGCCCACGTTTGAGTTATTCTGGCGTGATCTTATGTAATTAATTCAGGTAAGACTGTATTTTATTTTAAATATCTCCATGGTGACTAAAAGTTACCAATCTAGCCGAGCGAACTATTATATATTACCCAAAAACAGCAGGGCAATCTACCATATATTATGGACAATCTACCATATATTACCCCCAAACAGCAGGACAACCTACCATATACTACTCAAAAACAGCAGGGCAATCTACCATATATTACCCCAAAAAAGCTGGACAATCTACCATATATAACCCTAAAATAGCAGGACAACCTACCATATACTACTCAAAAACAGCAGTACAATCTACCACATATTACCCCAAAACAGCGGGACAATCTACACATATTACCCAAAAACAGCAGGACAATCTACAATATATTACCCAAACATAACAGGACGATAAATCATATACTGTTCAAAAACAGCAGAATGGACTACCATATATTACCCAAACCCAGCAGGATGATCGATATTATACTACCCAATACCACCCAATACTAACTAAATATTACCAAATAGTATCGCACACCAGCCCAGACGATAATAAACAGTTGAGTTAATTTGTGGAATTAGCAAATCTTTTGCGATAAACAGGACACGCATTATCTTTATAGTATCAGTACCCGGTAGGTCATGAAAGCAAGACATCCCCAGGAAAGTAAATTAATGTATATAGTTCCAATAATTAAAACAAATTCTCCAATGAAATACGTTATTAATACATTTAAACATACATTATGCAAGAGCTAAATCTGCTTATTTTAGATCTTTCTTTAGGCCTGAAATGTTATCTAAATTGTTAATTAGACATTAATTAAAATTAACTTATCCATACCATAATCAACTCGTGTTATTGACACTCGCGTTGGACACACCCGATACTGATGTATAGACTGTGTACAGACTCTAAACCTTCTCGTAATGTCTTGGAATTGTGATGAATTAATCACTAAGGTGTCAACATACTGTTCACAAAAAATTGCTTTGATCCATTTAGTAAGTCGTTATCTAAAATGATTTGATTAAAGTGCCTCTCTGATTTTGAAAGCGTACTGACGTTTTTTTTTTTGCTGTTTAGTATATATTATATTATATTTACCGTATAACAACCATCAGTATCTCACGAAGGCATTGCCAGAAATTATTTATGATTTGTTTTCATAATGTTTAAAATCATGTCTATAATGTAACTAAAGTACATTACAATTCCTTGTTCTTATCAGCACATTAATTGTGTTAAAGGACAATTTAGTGTTCACTAATATTAAAGATACATTATGGGAGATTAGATAAAGAGCTGGCAGTTCTCACTATAATAGTTAAAAACTAGATAATGTAGAGGGAATTTTCTGTAAATTTCAGCCCAATTGATCCACTCGGAACCGAGCTTTTAGCGATTGAATTTTCGGCCTAGCCCCGATCATCATTAATAAAGTCGGAACGATAAAAACCAGCGGCTGCCAGGCAGGATACGCCCACATTTTCGAGAGATGGATAGAGAACAAGCTAACAAGAAAGTGATTTTTCCTACAATCAAGGGCCATTTTGTCTGTCAATTTTGGGCCGATTTTCGAACTCAGTCATCCTTAGGGTGTAACGGTGATATAATAGAACGTTTTTTTTTAAATCGGATAAAAATTATGACTTCTATAGGGTCCACAAGCTAAAAACGTGATTTTTCGTACAATCAGGGGCCATAATTCAGGAAGTTACGGTCCGATATGCACGAACATCGAAAGGAACCGAGATCTTTGGGTTATATACTTACATTTCAAGTTTCAACAAAATCGGATAAAAATTGTGACCCCTATAGGATCCACAACCTTGATATACCATATTCTTACGCTATTTGGGAACGAACGGCGGCCATTTTGTCTGTCAATTTTGGGTCGATTTTCACGAAATTCGAACTCAGCCATCCTTAGGGTGTAACGGTGATATAATAGAACTTTTTTTTAAATCGGATAAAAATTATGACTTCTATAGGGTCCACAAGCTAAAAACGTGATTTTTCGTACAATCAGGGGCCATAATTCAGGAAGTTACTGTCCGATATGCGCGAATATCGAAAGGAACTGAGATCTTTGGGTTATAAACTTACATTTCAAGTTTCAACAAAATCGGATCAAAATTGTGACCTCTATAGGGTCCACAAGCTAAAAACGTGATTTTTCGTACAAACAGGGGCCATAATCCATGAAGTTTCGATCCGATACATGCCAATATCGAAAGCAGCCGAGATCTTTTGGGGATAAACCTATATTTCAAGTTTCGGCGAAATAAGATAAGAATTGTGACCTGTAGAGAGTCCACAAACAATTGTGGACGGACGGACGGACGTCCGGACGGACAGGGGCGACGGCATAATACGTCCACATGAAAATGTGGGCGTATAAAACATAGTCTCGATTATTCATTTCTTGATTAAATCGTGAATGAAAGTTGAGCAGAAAATCGGATCCTAATCCAATAAATATCACAGACTAGCGATGGCACCGAGAATTTATTATGGTCTGGATAAGTTAATTAATGTCTAATTAATAATGTAGATAACATTTCAGGCCTAAAGAAAGACCTGCAATAGGCAGGTTTAGCTCTTGCATAATGTATGTTTAAACTTTTTGTAGAACTGGTTAATACATTTGAAATATAATTTTAACACATAGATCTTTATAACGGTTGATTGTTAGCAAAGACTGGAAAAATCCGCAAATGATGCAAGAAAAAAGAAACAATTACTCCCCGATATAGTCCTTTACTTATGCAGATATTAAACTTAAAACACGCCCTGCTTGCCTTTACCCTGTGTATTTATAATAATATACTTAACGGATTTAAAACACGGCAATATTAAACAGGTATTATGCAAGAGCTAAATCTGCCAAATGCAGATTTTTCTTTAGGCATAAAATTATTAATTGCGCATAAATTAACTTACCAAGACTATAATCAATTCTCGACGCTTGCGATAGTTAGTGGATTTAAATACTTTTTGTGGTAATAGCAGTTACCATCAAAATGGATAATTGAGACTTTGTTTATTATCGTAACAACGAGGCTATCCTATTATATATTGCCGATTCCTTGGCTCAGAGTGAAGTAATTCGACTGAAATTGTCAAAATATTCCATGTTTTGACTATCTAATCTTACCTAATGCCACTCTAATCATCCCTGACAACCGTGTTCTGTCAGTGAAAATTCCAATTGTATTACCCAATCATCGACTAATTCTTATGGCACTGTCACACTATCCTAGCCTTATTCACAAATAGGGTTCAGATTACCCACGCGGGATTTTATTACCCAATCATCGACTAATTCTTAAGGCACTGTCACACTATCCTACCCTTATTCACAAATAGGGTTCAGATGACCCTAATTAACCTCGAGGGATTTGTTAATGAATTACCTTTACATTTGAATTAAAGGATACCTGGATTCCAGTAACGAACTAGAAAATGTTGTTAATGATAGCCATAATATTGTCACTCAGTCAAGTATCTGCTCTAGGTAAGCCTGGTTTTTTTATTTGTTAAATATGTCAACATTTTATTGTCCTTTCTCGCAGGGGTGATTGTAGAGTTATATCGCCTCTTGAAAATGATGAAATCTTGTAAAATCGATGGAAAACAGGGTTTTCAAATTGATGATCTATTGTAAACATGATGTAAATAGTTCTCAATGAATAATGTACTGTATTTTGTTTGTATTACAATTTTAATGTATAGCTGTAATGTATAAATGCATGGCCGTCGTATGTGCAATGCAGGGTTGTCGTGTGTAATGCAGGGTTGTCGTGTATATTGCAGGGTTGTTGTTTGTATTGCATGGCTATCGTGTATAATGCATGGCTGTCGTGTATAATGCAGGGTTGTCGTGTATAATGCATGGCTGTCGTGTTTAATGAATGACTGACATTGACATGTAAAAGTCACATAAGTAAGTCAGGACTAGGATATGGACCTCTAACATTGGTATGCCATATCAATATGCAATTATAACATTATAAGATATTATCATATATATGGTTTACTGGTGATATATAATATGTAATTATAAGATTTTATTGTAGATATTTGTCTAGAAAAGAATTTGTATGATGACCAATTTACTGGTTATAGACATAGGTACACCATACCAGTGACACCTGCTGGGGAAACATACAAACTAATAGTACCATGTGAACCAGGTGAGTGACCTGTATATCTGATGTGTGGTCTGGATATATTTTATGGGTTATTTTATGGACACATCAACACAGTTTAATCGTATGGACACATCAACACAGTTTAATCGTATGGACACATCAACACAATAATCACATAGAAACATCAACACAATAATCGTATGGATCCATAAATACAATTTATTTTGAGTAAATATTCGATAGAAACTGTAAAAACGATGTTTTATAATCGTTTATGCATATAAGATTTTCTACACCGGAACTCGGGTCTATCAATGTTATCAACTCGATTTTTTACGACCATCGTGTTTTGCTAAACAATTCTGGCCCATGATGTTCTTTAAATTTAAAATATGTGTCTTTAATTTAAAAGTTCTCAGCTGTAATGAGCAGTTCTCGGATCGCCCTGTACAACTAATTTTTTCCCCGACTGCATCAAAAATAATGATTTCGTCAGCAATTGTTTTGATGCACGGTCATCTATTAGACAATAATAGCTTCAGTTGACCACCGGTCCAATAAAATGTCCCAAAAGGCCTCTATACCGGAGGTTAAGACAATACAAAAAATGATTGTTCAGGCTGGAGTGTTGTGGTTGGTATCAAATCTTTCGTGAAGGATGCATTCATAAATTGTAAGCAATCTGGAGATATTTAGATAAGAAATGGTTTGGGCTAGGCCAAAGGACGACTATCAAAAGAGACAAATATTTGGTTGCTCACCAATGCGTTTTTAATAAGCAAGCCACTTCGCATATTCATGGAAAGATTTCTGTATCTGTTGAAAGTAGTGCCAAGCGTATTTTCCTCAAATAATCAGCTTGATACTGGACAAGTGTTCATCTCATCAGAAGATGGGTTTATCTCTGGTAAAACTCCGCCCCTAGTGACTACTGATTGGTAGGATTTGTTAGAATAAATTGCTGCCGATTTAAATATGGCCGGCGACATTTACCAGATATAAACAAAGGGTATAGTTATCTCTGGGATCGGGATTGGGGTATATCCAATGCCCTGCAGTTGACTATGAGAGCAATTTTGACCTACACGTCGTCGTCGAGCACGTCCACGAGTACACAGGTGGACCTGGGTTTTTTCGGTTTGAGACGCGGTTGCATTCTAGTCATTGCCACCGCCTGACGATACCAATGGAGTTGTTGAAATAGTTATTGTTAGACTGATGGCCATCTTATATAATAATACAGTTTGTTAGCGATTTTTGATTTAATGATATATACTGATTAAAATATACACCAAATACCTTTTTTGTCTTATATTAACTTCGTCATGAACCTTAAATCTAAGTTTCCCCCCTGGGGTGTAGGGGGTGATAAGAATATACCCTTCGTATTTCCTGCGTGTCGTAAGAGGCGACTAAAAGGATCCCTGTAATGGGGCAACGTGTTTACCGTGCGTTGCGACCCGTGTCGGTGGAGAGTGGAATCCTGGTAATTGAGTGGGGATTTGACTTGCGAGCGCTTTCTCTGCAACACATTACTTTAGCCCATGGTTCACCTAGACGGGAGGTCAGAGTGGCCCACTCTGATCAATCGGCTTTGGTCGTTTTTAGCTCTGTAGAATGTACATTTTTCAACTTCAATGCTCTGTTGTTTTTTATACTCAGCAAGTTTACCTTTGTGTCCTGAATACATTCTACAGAGCGGCGGCTTGGGTCAATCAGGTTAGTTAAGTATTTTTACTTTCTGGCTTGAGTATACCCCTCGTCGAGCCCTGAGGCCACGCGCCGGATATCCGCGCTAGTCCTCCCCTTAGTAGGCAGGGCAGTAACCTGGGGGACGACGAGGGGTGAATTATTAAAAAAAATAATTCATGGATTCCCCAATCCCCCACCCCAATTATCAAAAATAATAAATATAAACAGAAACGTTCGAGTTCAGAGGACGTTTCAAATATATTTAATAATAGTAAAATGTCAAAGTCTTGGACGAGGTTCCTCCTAATTGAGAGTCCCTCGAAAGACCTATCAAAAGTGTCACCATTTCTAATAACCAAGGGCATAGCTGGTTTGGCCGGCGAGCCCAAGGCTATCAAAAAACTTAAGAATGGAACACTCTTAATAGAATGTGCCAAAGAACAGCATGCTATCATGCTTCTTAAATCATCATCTTTGGCAGACATTCCTATTAAGGTGTCTCCACATAGGTAGAGGTGTAATACGTTGCCGGGACCTTGAAAGCAGCAGTGGGGAAGAAATGGTAGAATACCTTTCTTCTCAGGGTGTACAACACGTTAAAAGAATTAGTGTTCGTCGAGGAGATAAGGTGATTCCAACTAGCACCTACATCCTCACTTTCAATCGTACCGACATACCAAAGACTCTCAAGGCAGGTTATTTTAACATACCTGTGGATTCTTATATATCCAATCCTCTTCGTTGCTACAAGTGCCAAAAGTTTGGACACAGCAAGACCGTCTGCAGGGGTAAAGACACCTGCGCTCGTTGTGGTCATGGTGACCACGAGAGCGCTACCTGTCAGGCTTAGTTTTGTTGTGTGAATTGTAAGGGAAAGCACTTTGCTTATTCCCGTGAATGTCCAATATGGCAAAAAGAGAAAAGAATCCAACAGGTCATGTCTGAAAGAAAAATATCTTATTTCGATGCAAGAAAGCAGGTAGATTTAACTGCACTGTTTCTCATTGCACCACAAGGGAAAACATTTTCAAGTGCAGTTAAAGTTTCCACCAAATCTATTTCTATTCAGACAGATTTAACCTGGCCTAATAAGCAGGATAAACCGAAGACTTTGACGTCATCGGATCAAAATAAAGGGGTTTCGAGCTCGGTTCAAACATCTGAGAGCTCGATTCAAACCACTTCTCCCTTGCCTTGTGAGGGTTCATCTACTTTGCCCCAAACGGAAACTATTGGGAACATCCCTAATACTTCCCTCGCACCACGCTAAAGCTGCAACTCCTGATCCTACTGGGTCAGGGTCACAGCATAAGGGTATTTCACCCTCACAAGAAGAAATTATTCTCGGCAAGAAAGAAAGGAAATTGCGCGGAAAGGGTTCACAAGACCCTATTACCCATTTCAATAAATTTGGGGTTGATCTGATGGACGGTATTACCGTAGCGGATGTTCATATGATCCCCTCCGGTAAGCCGCCAAAAATAAATTATCCCTGACAATGGTAAATTCCATAATTCAATGGAATTGTCGTGGTTTAAACCCAAATTTTAATGAAGTCCAACTATTAATACAAAAGTACAATCCTTTAGCTATTTGTTTACAGGAAACTTTTTTAAAGAAATTCCGACAATTTGTCCTTTCACTCAGTTGGTAACGGTAGAGCCCATTGTTGTGTTTCTGTTATTCTTAATGGAGATATTCCCCAGAGTCAAGTCACACTTAACTTGCCGTTACAGGCAGTTGCAGTTCGAGTGACTCTACATATTCCAATTACACTCTGTTCTATTTATCTTCCACCAAGTTTACATCTTACTCCCAGAGATCTTGATGACCTTGTTGCACAACTTCCTCTCCCGTTTATTATTACAGGAGATTTCAATGGTCATCATTCCCTGTGGGGTAGTCCAGATAATAACAACAGAGGTAAACAAATAGCTGACTTCATTAACAATAATTTGTGTTTATTAAATGATGACTCGCCTACTTATCTACATCCTGCCACAGCTTCTTTTTCTTCCCTCGATCTCGCCATTTGATCTCCGGTCCTGTTGCAGGATTTTACATGGAGAGTAAATGAAGATCTATGTGGTAGTGACCACTTTCCTATCTTGATTGATAATAATAGTCCCTCTCCGGTCGAAAGACCTCAGAGGTGGAAGTTGCATAAGGCTGATTGGGCCCTATTTGAGTCATTGTGTCTCTTCTCCTATGATACAAAGGAGTTAGATGATGCAGATGAGCCCATGACCTTATTCACTTCAATTCTTCAAGATGTAGCTGAGCAGGTGATTCCAAAAACCACGACTGAACCAAAACGTTTCAATAAACCATGGTATAATGACGATTGCAAATCCGCTTTACAAGAGCGTGATCGTATCCTAAGACGATTAAAGAACCATCCTTCCATGGAGAATATTGCGGCATACAAAATGGTCAGAGCGAAGGCTCGTAGAACCATACGTCAAGCAAAAAAAGTCTTCATGGCAAGGTTACGTCTCTAGGATCAATTCCCGTACAACATCAAAATCCGTCTGGGATACGATTCGTAGGATTAAAGGTAAAAGTAGTGCATTATCAGTTAACCATCTCAATGTTGATAATACCGCCTTAACAACATTTCCTGATATTGCTAATTCTCTGGCCAGAACATTTTCATACAATTCATCATCCAATTTCTCCTCTGATGCCTTTCGGGGCATTAAAAATCAGCAGGAGAAAAGGCGTCTTAATTTCAAGTTCGGTAATGATGAATGTTACAATGATCATTTTTCTGTTGCAGAGCTCCGTGACAAACTTAAGCGAGCTCGCGATACTGCAACTGGTCCAGATGAAATACACTACCAAATTCTAAAACATTTACCTTTACCAACACTCTTAATACTATTGGATCTTTTTAACCGGATTTGGGTTGATGGGAATTTCCCTCCTTCGTGGCATGAAGCCAAAATAATTCCCATCCCTAAACCGGGTAAAGATCATACGAATCCGACCAACTATCGTCCGATCGCTTTGACCAGCTGTATTTGCAAAACCATGGAGAGATTGATCAATCGAAGACTTGTTTGGTACCTTGGGTCCAACAACCTTATTACTGACCTCCAATGTGGATTTCGGTCCCAAAGGAGCACTCTTGATCATCTCGTTCGATTTGAAACGATCATCAGGGACGCTTTCATCCAGAAGCAACATTTAGTTGCAATATTTTTTGATCTGGAGAAAGCATATGATACTACATGGAAACATGGTATCATGCGCGACCTCCATAACCTCGGCCTACGAGGTCGCTTACCTATCTTCATTAAAACATTAACTGGAAGATAGGTCATTTAAGGTAAGACTGGGGTCAATATTCTCTGACCCATTTCCTATGGGGGTTCCCCAGGGAAGTATTTTATCACCAACTCTTTTTGCAATAAAAATCAATTCCATCCCAGTATGCATTAAACCAAGTACAAACGGCGCTCTTTATGTTGATGACTTTCAGATGTGCTATGGTTCTACAGACATGCGGATAATCGAACGTAAGTTGCAGCTTTGTTTGAATTCACTTCAACAATGGGCAACTGAAAATGGATTCCGTTTTTCGAAATCCAAGACTGTCTGCATGCATTTCTGTCAGAAACGAGGTTTGCATCCTGATCCAGAACTTTTTGTGGATGGCAACCGCCTTCCAGTTGTGGATGAAACCAAATTTCTGGGGCTGATATTTGATAAGAAATTGTCATTTATCCCCCACATTTAAAACCTAAAAAAGAAATGTCTGAAAGCCCTCAACATTTTGAGAGTCTTATCAAATACTGACTGGGGAGCAGACCATAAGGTCTTGCTCAGATTATATCGAGCATTAATAAGATCAAAACTCAAAATGGGTGTATTGTGTATGGGTCTGCCCGCGAGTCTTATCTCAAAGAGCTCGACACCATACACAACCAGGGACTTAGAATCAGTTTAGGAGCATTTCGTACATCTCCAGTGGACAGTTTATACGTCGAGGCGCATGAGCCCTCACTGCACAACAGACGTGATAAACTGGCCCTGCAGTATGCTACGAAAATAGCATCACAGATGAGCTCCAGGCCATTCTTCAGGCCTTGGAGTTCATACAATCCTCTTCATCTTTAAAGCATAATTATCACCTTTACTGATTCTCTGTCCTCGCTTCAAGCAATTAACAATAAACAGCTTGAACACCCATTAGTAGCAGATGTTTATCGACGTTGTCTTTTGCTGGCTCCCCAGTCACGTTGATATAAGGGGGAATGATCAAGCAGATTTTGCTGCCAAAGCTGCTTTAGATCTTCCCCAATCACCCTTTTTAATACCATATAAAGATTTTAAATCATGTATAAATTATTTTATTTATGACCGCTGGCAACGGTCTTGGGATCTTGCAGACACAAATAAACTTCATCACATTAAGCCTCTCCTAGGAGATTGGCCCAACTCCTATAGAACCAACAGGAGGGATGGAGTTGTTTTGTGTCGCTCTCGCATTGGTCACACGTTTTTAACTCATATTTTCATTTTGAAGCGAGAGTCTCAACCGGAATGTTTTCACTGTCATGTTCTTTTGACAGTGAGACACATCTTGATTGAGTTCAAACTTCTCAAGTGCATTAGATATAAATACTACCGTTGCCAGAAAGTACGTCAGCTATTTGCTCAACCGGAGTTATATGATGAAGTGCTAACATTTTTAAAAGAGAAAAACTTTTATTCTCAATTGTATATATTTAATCATGTATATCTTTTAAAATATTTATATATGTAAAAGATTTGTTATATTTATTCTTGATTAATATATTTTCTGTGATATTTGTTTTTATTTACATATATAAATTCATTGATGTGATATCGTTTTAATTTGTCTCGTTAGATTCACCATATGTTTGGCGCAATATAGCCCGGTTGGGGCTGACGTGCCATAAAACCATATTTCATTTCATTTCATTTAAATCTAAGTTTAACCCTTAAAGTATACCTTGTATGTTCCAGATACGTCATCTTTAGCTTCAGCTGTCGGTGAGATAACGTGTATGAATAGGAGCATGAGCAGTTGGAGACATCCTTATTCAGCGGTTTGGGGAGACTTTCAAGTGAAAATAAAGTGTCATTCAGTTAGCAATGACCTGACTGTACTAACCTTTGAACTCTATACCATAGTTAAGGTAGGCAAATTAAGAAATATTATTGACTTTCAGTGTATTAGCCATAGTGACTTTTTGTCAATTACATGATTAGATCCTTACAAGCCATAATTCTTTCGTAGGACAGGACAGTTATTAATTAAGACAAGAGATTATACAAGGTATGTCCATTTACTCTTCATTTCGATTAGTAGAAGTTGTTAAATATTTATTAAAACATGTGAACGACCTTGGCCCCTTCACCATCACCAGTAGAAGTTGCGCAAAATATTCAGATCTGCAGGTAGTTGTTGGTGAATGAGAACTATAATAACCCCCCTGGTATTCACAGATGTAAATTTTTCTTTTTGTTAGTGTGGCGTGTCCTGTAAATATAACGGTCTGTCAGTGTGTCAAGTCGCGTGGTTTCGATTCCCCTCTTGTCCATGGCAAGGAATGGGGTCACCTGTTCAACTGCGTAGATTGTCTCTGGCTTCCTCCTTTAGGAGGTCTTTAGCAGTTAGAGGAAACCGGGGGACCCTTAGAACACCGACGAGGTTGGACAGGTGACCCTACTCCTTGTCACGACTCACGCGGGGAATCAAACCCGCGCCACATGACTCAGTGACAGACCTTGTGGTTTAGATTAACTTAAATATATGTGTACTTGGTTGATTACAGTGTAAGTATTACTATAGCTCAGTTAAAATTAAATTTGTGTACCTGTTCCATTGCAATGTAAATATGTATCAACTGTTTTTATAGTTTAATTAAATGTGTGAACTGTTGCAAATGCAGGATTATTAATTGCGTATAGTATAGCTGCAGAGAACAGTTCCGGTACTTTTCAAATCAGGGGTTAGAGCTCACATGTGCCAACTGTACGTTCATGAGTATGAAGCAACATGTAACAATGTTTCGCCCCAAAACGTGTATATGAGATATTGATCTACACGATTGATAGTAGCATACTAGTAAATATAACAATTTTATATTCAAGCTACTATGTTAGAGGTCCAGTTAGTGATAGTGTTCTTTTAGTTCATCTGGGGTTTTATCTCTCCTAGTTCAATGGCTGTATAGGATAGTTTCATCTCACACCACGATGGTAAAGCCCAGCTGTTTTCCTCACTGGCCTAGTGACGATAGTTCAGGGGTTATTTTTTTCTGACCAGTTATACCAAATGTTCATTCATTGTATTATTATTTTTGAATAGGATATCACCCGTGACAACGCCAAGAATTACTTGGGGAGAATGAAAACATTGACTTCGGACATTTCAACTATTACCGATGTTTTATATACGACATATATCTTAGATAAGATTGTGAATTCGACCGACATTTCCTATCAAGTGAGTATATATCTTAGATTAGATCCTGTAATGGAATGATATTTCTTAAAGATTAATTATTTATCGTAGATCAGGTGGTGAAACGTAATGAATGTCCTATCGTGTCGTATTGATCGTACACCAGATCGTGAAATGTAATGACATATATAAAGTTTTAACTTGAAATATGTTTTATATAATATTTAAATGGCATTTAGCAACATATGCTTATGGGATACAGCTATTAATGTATTTAAGGCGACGTTTCGGAGAGTATTCCCTCAACGTTATACAGCGGAAACATCGCCTTGAATACATTAGTAGCTGGGGTTTTTTTTATCAAGTTTATGTTTTTATGTCTCATATGGTAAGGGCAGGAGGACCGCACAACACACAAAACCGACAAGACACCCCAGTGGACAAGATACACACTACACAGACATTGCAAGCTATAAACAACAAATATCAAATCATGTGAATGATTCAGGGTATCTTACATCATATCATGAGACATTCATAATATTGGAATAGGTTAATAATTTAAGAGGAGCTGTGGCACGCTTTTAGTAATTAACTTTTTTCGTCATTAAACCATTACACTAAAAAATATCAGAGACCAAAATAGAATATTGTGTGGAATGTAGTATCACACAGAGAGATAAAGGGATCTGATAAGGTAGTATTCAAAAATGTTTTTTTGCTTTTTTTCCTAAGTCAAATACAAATAAACACCACATAATGAAATATACTTTACCGACATGCTTACAAGATGATATTAAAGCTATTAAAGTTCCAGTAAGCCCAACGACTAAATATAACCACACACAATAGCGATGAAAGGAATGCAGGCCCTACGACTAAATTATGCAATACTAGGAATGGAATGCACGTCCTGCTATTTAATATATGGTATAATCAAATTTCCATTATTATAACATCAACTTTTAGCTCTAGTACAGGGGCTTGCTTGTCACGATGGTCTAACGCGTCGAGTGGCATGGTTTCGACCCCACAAATATATGTAACAAGCAGTTGGTTAACCCGGTTTACCCACACTGCTACAGACCCATACGTGCAAGTCAAAAATTGAAGTAAAATTGAACCATATTATGTTAGTCACGAAATAGTATCTCTAGTATTATAATACCAATATCTATCTAGTATTATAATACCCATATTTATCTAGTATTATAATACCAATATCTATCTAGTATTATAATATCAATATCTATCTAGTATCATAATACCAATATCTCCCTAGTATCATAATACCAATATATATCTAGTATCATAATACCAATATCTATCTAGTATTATAATACCAATATTTATCTAGTATTATAATATTATAATACCAATATTTATCTAGTATTATAATACCAATATATATCTAGTTTTGTATTATAATACCAATATTTATCTAGTATTATAATATTATAATACCAATATTTATCTAGTATTATAATACCAATCTAGGTTTGTATTATAATACCAATATCTATCTAGTATCATAATACCAATATCTACCTGGTATCATAATACCAATATCTATCTAGTATTGTAATACCAATATTTATATATATTATTGTAACAACAACATAACAACATCAAACTAATCATTTACGTAATACCAATGTGTTACATTGTTTTATTACTCAGCTTGATGGCTATTGTAGAGCAGCTCGAACTAAAAATACCAACGTATGATGAAGATGATGTCGGAAGCAGCCATGCACAATTCGTTACTGAAACAATGGTAGTGGATGTGTGGGATATACGATATACTGACACGGAACCTGTGATTGGTCTAAGGGTGGACGGGGAACTTAATCAACCAATGGAAGTAAACAACATTGTTCCTATACACGATAAAAACCATCTGTATACTGAAAATACAGTAGTTGGCATCAGCTTAAATAACGTACGAAAACTGTTTAACGGTAGGCTTCATATTATATGTTTTTATATATATATATATATTAAAGAAAAAAGAAATTCTGGAGAAATCACAGACCTTACACAGTAGGCGGTAGGTTTTAAGACTGGATGATTTGTCAGCGTAATGAGGCCTATTTGTTGCTGAAGACTTGGGTCTCCATTTGAAACACTATATTGTAATAAGCATAACACAGATTTTAGGATAACACCATGATTTTGTAATAAGTGTAATAAAGATTTCAGGATGGATCATAATCTTGTAATAAATTTACCATAAGCATAACAAGTACCAGGTACATTATCATTTCCGGGGGATCACGTGGCTAAGTGGGTAAGACGCTGGCTCGCTAGCCTGGAGGTCGGGCGTTCGATCCCTGCATTGGCCGAGAAAGTTCATCCAGATTTTCCGGCGTGGTTTCCCCTTGTCAGTGATGCAGGACGGAGGGCCTGACAAGGACAGCTGTCTAGTCATTCGGATGGGACGAAAAACCGAGGTCCCGTGTACACATTGGCGTGCACGTAAAAGATCCCTTGGCAGTTGGAATTCGATATAAGAGTAGGCCGTAGCGCCGCTGCCCGGCAAAATTTCCCTCATAGCACACTGTATGGCGTATGCCCGTCTTTATCAGCCCAGGTTAGGAGCAGAACAGTAGGACGTTAAACCCCATTTCATTTCATTTCACATTATCATTTCCGACCTATAAGGCCTTCTTAATATTCTTGTTCGTTTCTATTTTATCCTCTTCGAGAAAATGGTAATCAATGGCAGGGTTAGAACCTCCGACAGAATAGGCGTATTCTTCATAGAACACTTGGTAGCACCATCCGTTTTTAATACATTATCTTTTGGTGATAGAACTGTTGGTACTGCTATAATCTTATGGTGATATAACTACTGTTACCACTATTATCATGTGGTGATATAAGTGCTGGCACCTCTATTATCTGATGGTAATAGACCTACTGGTACCACTATTATCTTATGGCGATAGAAATACTGGTACTACTATTAGCTTTGGTGATAGAACTGATGGCATCACTCTTATCTTATGGTGATGATACCGCTATAATCTTATGGTGATAAAACTGATGGTACTATTATAACCTTATGGTGATAGAACTGCTGGTACCATTATAACCTTATGGTGATAGACATACTGGTACCACTGGTATCTTATGTGATAGAACTACTGGTACCACCAGTATCTTATTGTGATAGAACGGCTGGTACTACTATTATTTTATGATGATAAAACTACTGTTACCACTCCTATCTTATGGTGATAGAACTGATGATACCACCAGTATCTTATGGTGATAGAACGACTGGTACCACTAGTATCTAATGGTGATAGAACGGCTGGTACTACTATTATCTTATGGTGATGGAACAGCTGGTACTACTATTACTTAAGGTGATAGAACTGATGGCATCACTGTTATCTTATGGTGACTGAACAGCTGGCACCACTATTATCTTTTGATGACAGAACTGTTGGCACCTATATGGTTTGATGGTAATAGACCTACTGGTACCACTATTATCTTATGGTGATAGTTTATAGAACTACTGGTACTACTATTATCTTATAATGATAGAACCGCTGGTACCACTATTATCTTATGGTGATAGAAGTGATGGCATAACTCTTATTTTATGGTGATAGAGCTACTGGTACCTCTATTCTCTTATGGTGATAGATGATATAACTACTGGTACTACTATATCTTATAATGATAGAACCGCTGGTACCACTATTATCTTATGGTGATAGAAGTGATGGCATCACTCTTATCTAATGGTGATAGAACTGATGAAATCACTATTATCTTATGGTGATGGAACTGCTGGGACCACTATCACATGTGTTGATGATTCACGTCTTATTGCACCTTAGTATTTTTCCATTATCATCTAATTTCTGTTAATTTCTCACCTTCTGTTTTTAAAACAGGTAACAGTACAACAAAAATCCGACTAGCTGTTCACGTATTTAACAACTCCAGTTTATTTACGACTAATATGAATAACGACGATGTGATCAACAGTTATATAATTGGAATGACACTTGCTGTTGATAACAAGCCGATCAGATATTTAGAGCATGAGCACGTCACGATGGTCTTCCGTCCTAATCAGGTAGGGCATCAGTCTTTATTATAATTAATATCGGGCTATGGGATTACATCATTCTGTCCGACCAGCGGAGTTTCTGCCGACTCGTCATCGAATTCAAACTGTCACGTGTCCTGTTATGTGAACGCCAACAACTACACGGATGTAACCCATTCAAAGGCCCAGATCTATTTCCTATGTCAGTGGTTAAACCTTTGCAGAAATAAAGTTTTGCATTGTTGCCGATGGGTTTAGTATTTCTTTATCCCAACCCTGTCCCCTAGAGATATTCAATAGTGCATGGTTCAAGATAAAGGCCTGAAGCATGTCTCCCAGAACACGTTAGTTGGTAACAATACCCACAGATGCACTCTGTTGTACCGCACAAATATATTGTCAATAGCCCGTAACCCTGATATCATGTGGTTGAGGATAAGAAACCATAACACCAATGCCGTGGCTGAGGCTAATAATCCATGCCTCTGATACCTTCTGTTCGAGAGGGGTGGATGGCCGAATGCTAAGTGTGCGCGCATTGTATCATACGGCCTGTCATTGAGTCAACTGGCGTGGTTTCGATTCCCCGTTTGTACGTGGCAAGGAGTAGGGTCGCCTGTCCAGCCGTGTGGTCCAGCTAATAACCCATGCCTCTGATATCGTATGTTTAAGGATAATAAGCCCCACCTGCGATACCGTTTGGTTAAGAATAATAACTCATATCCCTGATACCGCTTTGGTGAGGAAAATATCCCATGCCTCTGTTACCGTGTGGTTGAGGATAATAAGCCATACCTCTAATACCACATGGTCGAGGATATTACAAATCCATTTGAATTACATTATTACCGTGTGGTTGGGGATTATAACCCATACCCCTAATACCGCATGGTCGAGGATGCTACAAATCGTTTTGAATTAGGGATTTTCCGATGTGGTTCCCCTTGTCAGTGGTGTATGATGGAGGGCCTGACAAGGACGGCTGTCTAGTCGTTCGGATGGGACGAAAAATCGAGGTCCCGTGTACATATTGGCGTGCACGTAAAATATACCTTGTCAGTTGGAATTCGGTATAAGAGTAGTCCGCTACCCAGGCAAAATGTCCCTCATAGCACACTGTATGGCGTGTGTCCGTCTTCATTAGCCCTGTCGGAGCAGAACAGTAGGACGTCAAACCTCATTTCATTTCATTTCTTTTTGAATTACATTGTTATATTTACAGATATTACAGGAACATGTTAGAGAGAAGTACACAAAGTATGGACATTGGCATGACTCCTACTGGTTCGAACATTCCCTTTCATCTAGTACAACGGATGGTAAAGATACCTGTACGACCGGAAATTTGGGCACTTTTGTACTTATACTAGTAAGCCATCATAATTTATTAATAAAACATACCGATAAAATAATCAGGCTTGGACGGTTTTCAGACTGGAGTGGATCTAAATTGATTTCACTGAGGTCCAGCAACATATATTGTTTTCATTTACATCGTTTCGTTTTAACACACGGTTTCTACAGTTCCGAATTTATACGTTAGTAGAATAGTTGCACAGGGTTTCTAGAGTGCAAAATGAAACTGTAAGTTGAATAGCTATACAGGGTCCTCTAGAATGCCGAATAAAAGCGTTAGTTCAATAGCTACACAGGGTCCTCTAGAGTGCGGAATGAAACCGTAAATAGAATAACTACACTAGGTAGGTTTGTGTATTTGATATTGCTAATCAAACAAAACATTTCAAAACGATTTCTCACAATATGTCTTGAAGTAGCTTCTGCCAAATGTTGCCAAGACCACTGATCTAGAGATATATACTACACTAAACATGCCCATGTTATAGAATGACACATGATTAACCATCTCGACAGTATCGTTTATAAATCGGGGTTGATTGAAAAGGATCGCACAGGTGGAATTTCCAAAGCTTGATTTCCGTTCAAAAAAGTATTTTCATTGTGGAGAATCAACAACATTTAACTGCCGACAAACTCCGTGCGTAAAGACCAGATTACATTTTGGGTCAGAGACATTGAACGCAATGAACGAAATGGAAATGAGTTAAAAGTATTTCCATTGTGGGGAATTTTTCCGAACTGGTTTCCCCTTGTCAGTGGTGCCTGACAAGGACAGTTGTCTAGTCGTTCGGATGTGACGAAAAACCGAGGCCCCGTGTACACATTGGCGTGCACGTTGGAATTCGATATAAGAGTAGGCCGTAGTGCCGCTGCCTGGGCAAAATTCCCTTCATAGCACACTGTATAGCGTATGCCCATCTTCATTATCCTAGTCAGGGCAGAATAGTAGGGCGTTAAACCCCATTTCATATATTGTGGGGAATCAGCAACGTGGTGATGAGTTAAAATAACTTGCACTGCGTTCGTCAGAGAACTCTGCATTGAAGTCCTATGTGCTACCAATGGAACTCTTCTCTTTTGAAATTCCTATGTTCTACAGGGTACTGACCTGATTACTGACGAAGAACATGTTCATTCATGAAATTATACAAACATACACAATGTTGCGTTTAATTATAAAATTATACATTATTGTGTTTGATTATACGCTTCCACAATTCCTCCCAGTGCTAAAGACCCATACGCGAAAAGCGAATTATTGAAATAAAATAGACCCATATGTTAGTCCCGAAAGGAGTTTGTGTCGTCAGGACGTTAAACCCCATTTCTCCTCTCGCTCTTTGTTTTTAGGCTAATAGTAAGTGTAGGAGAACCACCGGGAGACAAATGAAATGAAATGAGGTTTAACGTCCGACTGTTCTGCTGCAAATGGGCTAATTAAGACGAACATATACCATACATTGTGCTATGGGGGAAATTTTGCCTGGGTAGCGGCACTATGGTCTGCTCTTATATCGATTTCCAACTGTCAAGGGATCTTTTACATGATGCCAATGTATACACGGGACCTCGGTTTTGTGTCCATCCGAAGGAATAGACAGCTGTCCTTGTCAGGCCCTCCGTTCTGCAACACTGACAAGGGGAAACCACGTCGGAAAACCCCAATGGTCCAACATCACGTATGCATATCTCCCGTCAAAAGTTAAAACCTAGTAACTCACTTTTTTTTTTATCAAAAATGAGTTAGGACCAAATTTGTATTTACTAGAATATGGGCTTCCGGTTGTTGTACTAGATATTTCAGTCTTTCGATTTTGTAAGCAGTTACACCCATAACACAACCTAACAACTTCCTTCATTTGCCTAGTATGCCACAGAAAAACCTAATAACTCAACAGTCAAATCAATGCATAAGCTGATGTTGAATATTCATTCATTATGTTTTCCTTTGTTTTCTCAAAATAAGAAAAACGTGAGTTACTAGGTGTTGCCTTTTGGCGGGAGACATAGTCCAAGTTTTATGTTTATCCGAATTTTGTGTACGCAGTTCGGCATTTAAATTTGAAATATTGACTTTATTCCAGGACCATGATGGACTTAACTTTGTGAGAAAACTTTTCCTAAGTAAAATGGTCATAATAGGAATGATTTTTTCTCTTAGTTGTTATGCATTTTGCTACTTGGGCTGGATTTTTGTCAGGTATGTAGTGGTCGTTATACATTTCCAATAATGCACTTGTTCGGATAAAATACAAGTGCTAAAGGCGAGGTGGGACTGGGTGGACAAATGGTTAAACGCGCGCGCGTTTGATCATAAGGTCTGTCATTGAGTCAACTGGTGTGGTTTAGACTCTCCGCTAGAACGTGACAAGGAGTAGGAAATGAAATGAAATGAAATGAAATGGGGTTTAACGTCCTACTGGACACGGAGTAGGGTCGAAAGTCCAACCGCGTGGGTTTTCTCTGGGTGCTCTGGTGCTAAGGACCCCTACCCGCAAAGAATTATAGAAATAAAATTGAACCATCTGTTAGTGCCGGAATGGCCTAGTTTGTGTTGAGTGGACGCCAAACCCCATATAGACTATATGTGTTTTAAAACTATATGAAAACATATTTTAAACATTTGACCTAAAATACATGGAAGGGTATTAAATGCTCTGCTAAAATGTCTATTCCATTGATTATATGTAAAAAGTGCAATGTACAAAGTCATGATACCGGTAATGATAAAGTCAAAATACCTCTAAGATCAAAGTTAAATGTTAAACGTCAAATGTAATGTGTCAAATGACAAATGTTTTATTGGAAAAGGCTGTTTTTTGACGTGTCTACATTTTAGTTTCCCTCATAAAATATTATATTTGCGCTCTGCGACATCTCATTTGACCTTCACGCTTTCTTCATAGCATCTTACGCAGAGCACTATGCAAATGTAGATATCACGTGAATTATTAACATATACCACGGACCGTGTATAGATGGACAGGCAACGCCCACGAAGCCTTTAGAAATCTGTGCCGCGGCAAAAGAGAGACCTGACAATCGTGACTAAATTAAATTAGCGCCCCTCGCGCAAATACCTGTATTAAGTTTAAAAGCAAGGAAACAGAAATCATTTCATAATATTTTTATTAATCTTGCTACTCTTTTTTTTTTTGAAACCCATACATCGATAGTCTACTAACTGATGATTGGGGTGTAAATATATCAACACATCGTCTTTGTTTACTTCGGACGCGCCTGTGTGAATCCGAAAAAAAAACGTCGAGTTTTTCTTAAAAACAAATCTACTAAAAACACTCTTTCAATTTTTACTTCTGCACAATTAATCATCATTCCGGACAGTATTATACTTGAACTTTATTTTCATAACTTTAAAATCCTTCATCCATACGGGAATTTGTAGTATTAAGCAAAACCAAAATGCTTACAAAACCTATGAAAATATTGAAATTGATAATTTCACAATTTTCAACTGCTGCATTTGGAAATTTCAAAGTTTCAAACTGGACAAATTCGTCACTACCGGATAGGAATACTTATCAGGTTGAAAAATTAACGTATAACTATAAGAATATCATAAATTCCAAGGAGGAGTTCGAGAAATTAATCAGTATAAAATCCCGCAATGTCAAAAATCACATTGCTTGATTTGTCGTTGACATTGAGATCTCGCCGTGTCTCGCGCGAGCGGCAGAGAATCCAACAAACAGGACTCGTTGCCTATCCATCTGTACACGGTCCATGCATATATGAAGAAGAGATCGAGATCAACCTGGCACACTGTAAGCCAGCATACGATAAGAGGAAATCATCCTGGCACACTAAAAGAAATTTACTTACCTTGAAAAAACGATCAAACGTGGATGGTACTAAACTATATTACCATGATTACGGAAGGGGGGGGGGGTATAAAGTCAAAATACAGGCCATAATACGATATTCCAGATATCAAGTTACATATCAATGAAAATCGCGTACATGTATACGCATTCCTCTCTGTAAGTTCATGTATACTCATTATTTGCTGGGCACAATGATTACACCCTTTTTTGAATGGATTAAAGTTAATAAGCCTGTACTAAAATTGGGGGCGGTGGCGAGGGTTTATAATGTGAAAATACGGGCATTAATACGAAATTCCAGTTATCGTGTTATACATCACTGGAAAGTATGTTTCTTTCAATCATCATATATTTCCTGGCACGTTCATGATTACGGACCTCAGAGAAAGAGAAATCCTTCTTATTTTGTCGAAAGAAATGTGTCGCTGTCCGACAGTAACCTAATTACTAAATATAGACCATCTACTTTCAATTTATGTTGTCAAAGGCTCGGATTAGTCATACCAATCACATGATTTTATTGCAGGCACGGCCATCCAGCTAATTTCTTATAGTTTGCCATGTTGATTGCCTCAATAATGTGTGGTAAATATCTTGTGTGTGTGTGAAATAACTTTATTTAACGCCCGCTTCCACCGACGTGATATCCTACATTTGCATATCAAACTTAGGGCTCTGCGTAAGATACTGTGTAGAAAGCGTGAAGGTCAAATGAGATGCGGCAGAGCGTAAATGTAAAATGTAACGAGGGAAATGTAAAATGTAGATACGTCAAAAATAGCATTTTCCAATAAAACATTTGACATTTTATACATTTCATTTGACTTTTTACATTTAACTTTGCCCTTCGAGGTATTTTGACTTTATCATTACTCGTATTAAGACTTTGTACATTGTACTTTTTAAACGTAATCAATGGAAAAGACATTTTAGCAGAGCATTTAAGATTGGCAGCGATACCCTTCCATAAAAACATGCAGCCATAGCTTTGCATTCATGTATATTACGAATCGTTTATATTTTCAAGTTACATGGAATATCCTTATTTTTGAATAAAAATTGCAAGGATAGGATTCGGAAAAACCTACAGTTGTTGTGATTGGCGTATATTCTTTAAACCGTCACTTTACATTTCATTCTAATCTTTGTTGTTTTGTTTTTTTATTTTTTGTTACTCTTATAAATTTAAGAAAACTTTACATTTCATTCTAATCTTTGTTGTTTTGTTTTTTTATTTTTTGTTACTCTTATAAATTTTAGAAAACTTTACATTTCATTCTAATCTTTGTTGTTTTGTTTTTTATTTTTTGTTACTCTTATAAATTTTAGAAACTTTACATTTCATTCTAATCTTTGTTGTTTTGTTTTGTTTTTTGTTTTTTGTTACTCTTATAAATTTTAGAAAACTTTACATTTCATTCTAATCTTTGTTTTGTTTTTTGTTTTTGTTACTCTTATAAATTTTAGAAAACTTTACATTTCATTCTAATCTTTGTTTTGTTTTTTTGTTACTCTTATAAATTTCAGAAAACTGAGAAGGGACACCTTCTGTGTACATTTTCGCCTGGTACTGGCAGTCTTAATTCCATATTCGTTAAATCTGTGGTGGCTCGGCCAACCCGATTGCCATACTGAGGCTGTGGTACTACTGTATATAGTAACCTATTTTATCAGCTCTGCAATGACCTGCTTGTTGACGGATGGGATTCTTCATCATTCTTTGTTTGTTAAAGTCAGAACGAAAAAAAGTTATGTCGTACTTTCGAAAAGCTCTGATAAATCGTGTAAGTATCTAGAAACTTTAAACACGGGAACCCGCTTTTGCATAACATTTATTAATTATAAAACAACACACTAAAAACTGTTTTATTGAATGACATTTACAGGGTTTAACACGATAACAATTTCTCTTTTTGACAAAGATGGTTGTTAGTATCGAAATGAAATGAAATAGGGTTTAACGTCCTACTGTTTTGCGCCGAACTAGACTAATGAAGACGGGCATACGCCATACAATGTGCTTTATGAGGGAACTACGGCCTATTCTTATACCAAATTCCAACTGTCATGGGATCTTTCACGTGCAAGCCAATGTGTACCGGGGCCTTGACTTTTCGTCCCATCCGAACGACTAGACAGCTGTCCTTGCCAGACCCCCTGTCCTGCATCGGTAGTGACCACTTTCCTATCTTGATTGATAATAATGGTCCCTCTCCGGTCGAAAGACCCCAGAGGTGGAAGTTGCATAATCTTTGTGTCTCTTCTCTTTTGATACAAAGGAGTTAGAAGATGCAGATGAGCCCATGGCCTTATTCACTTCAATTCTTTAAGATGTAGCTGAGCAGGCGATTCCAAAAACCACGACTGCACCAAAACGTTTCAATAAACCATGGTATAACGATGATTGCAAATCCGCTCTTAAAGAGCGTGATCGCATCCTGAGACGATTAAATAACCACCCTTCCATGGAGAATATTGCGGCATACCAGATGGTACGGGCGAAGGCCCGTAGAACCATACGCCAAGCAAAGAAGTCTTCGTGGCAAGGTTACGTCTCTAGGATCAATTCCCGTACCACTTCCAAATCGGTATGGGATAGGATTCGTAGGATTAAAGGTAAAAGTAGTGCATTATCAGTTAACCATCTCAATGTTGATAATACCACCTTAACAACATTTCCTGATATTGCCAATTCTCTGACCAGTACATTTTCGTTCAATTCATCATCCAATTTCTCCTCTGATGCCTTTCGGGGCATTAAGAATCAATAGGAGAAAAGGCAACTTAATTTCAAGTCCCGTAATGATGAATGCTATAATGATCATTTTTCCATTGCAGAGCTCCGTGATTCGTTAAAGCGAGCTCGGGACACTGCAACTGGTCCAGATGAGATACACTATCAAATTTTAAAACATCTACCTTTTCCAACACTTCTTATTTTACTGGATCTTTTTAACCGGATTTGGGTTGATGGGAATTTCCCTCCTTCGTGGCATGAAGCCACAATAATTCCTATCCCTAAACCGGGTAAAGATCATACGAATCCTACCAACTATCGTCCGATCGCTTTAACTAGCTGTATTTGCAAAACCATGGAGAGATTGATCAATCGAAGGCTTGTTTGGTACCTTGAGTCCAACAACCTTATTACTGACCTCCAATGTGGATTTCGGTCCCAAAGGAGCACTCTTGATCATCTCGTTCGATTTGAAACGTTCGTCAGGGACGCTTTCATCCAGAAGCAACATTTAGTTGCAATATTTTTTGATCTGGAGAAAGCATATGATACTACATGGAAACATGGTATCATGCGCGACCGCCATAACCTCGGCCTACGAGGTCGCTTACCTATCTTTATTAAAAATTTCCTGGAAGATAGGTCATTTAAGGTACGACTGGGATCAATCTTCTCTGACCTATTTCCTCAGGAAATGGGGGTTCCCCAGGGAAGTATTTTATCGCCAACATTATTTGCAATAAAAATTAATACTATCCCAGCGTGCCTTAAACCAGGTACAAACGGGGCTCTCTATGTTGATGACTTCCAGATGTGCTATGGTTCTACAGACATGCGGATAATCGAACGTAAGTTGCAGCTTTGTTTGAATTCACTTCAACAATGGGCAACCGAAAATGGATTTCGTTTTTCGAAATCCAAGACTGTCTGCATGCATTTCTGTCAGAAACGAGGTTTACATCCAGATCCAGAACTTTTCTTGGATGGCAACCGCCTTCCAGTTGTGGATGAAACCAAATTTATCATTTATCCCCCACATTAACAACCTAAAAAAGAAATGTCTGAAAGCCCTCAACATATTGAGAGTCTTATCAAATACTGACTGGGGAGCAGACCGTAAGGTCTTGCTCCGATTATATCGAGCACTTATAAGATCAAAACTCGATTATGGGTGTTTTGTGTATGGGTCTGCCCGCGAGTCTTATCTCAAAGAGCTCGACACCATACACAACCAGGGAGCATTTCGTACATCTCCAGTGGACAGTTTATACGTCGAGGCGCATGAGCCCTCACTGCACAACAGACTTGATAAACTGGCCCTGCAGTATGCTACGAAAATTGCATCACTTCCAAACCATATTTCATTTAACACCATATTTAGACCTCTTCATGAGCATTTGTATCTTGTTAAGACTAACGTCATTCCATCTTTCGGTATTCGCATTCAACCCCTTTTGTCTGAGGCTGGTATCAGTCTTGACAGTATTGCGAATACCCCTCTCTTTGAGACTCCACCGTGGGCTGTATCTCCCCCAAAGATCGATTTCGATCTTTCGCAACATAAAAAGAGAGATACTAGCTCGACGGTGTTTCAGTCTCTCTTTCGAGAGCTAAGGTCTAAATATGGTGATTATGCTCCAATATATACAGATGGTTCGAAAGATGATGATCGGGTAGCTTCGGCTACTGTGACACCATCTGAGACAATTTCTGTCTGCCTTCCACCTGCTTCTTCCATCTTTACAGCTGAACTCCAGGCCATTCTACAGGCCTTGGAGTTCATTCAATCATCATCTATATTTAAATATATAATATTTACTGATTCTTTGTCCTCCCTACAAGCAATAAACAACAAACAGCTTGATCACCCACTAGTGGCAGACATTTATCGTTTGCTACTATCATTCGAGTGTACCATCAAGGACATTGTCCTTTGCTGGCTCCCCAGTCATATGGATATCAAAGGGAACGATCAAGCAGACTCGGCTGCCAAGTCTGCTTTAGATCTTCCCGTATCTGAATTTTATATACCTTTTAAGGATTTTAAATCCATCATAAATACATTTATTTATGGCCGCTGGCAACGCTCTTGAGATCTTGCAGGCACAAACAAACTTCGTCACATTAAGCCTCTCTTAGAAGACTGGCCAAGCTCCTATAGAACCAACAGGAGAGATGAGGTTGTTTTATGTCGCTCTCGCATAGGTCATACCTTTTTAACACATAGTTTCATCTTAAACCGAGAGCCTCAACCAGAATGTGAACATTGTCATGTTCCTTTGACAGTGATACACATTTTGATTGAGTGCAATCATCTCAAGAATACAAGATCACGATATATTGCGAAATGCTAAACTTTTTAAAAGAGACAGGTTTTTATTATAAATTTTAATTTGTATATAATATATATATATGTAATATTTTCTATTTTTTATTGTTTATATGCATAAAAGATTGTTTTTATATTTAAATTTGATAAAACTGTGATATTGTTTTTATTTATGAACTTTCTCGGCCAATGCAGGGATCGAACACCCGACCTCCAGGCTAGCGGTGAGCCAGCGTCTTAACCACCTAGCAACCATGTGCTTATCAAACATACTTGTTTGAATAGCACATCCCCAGAACGAGCCATTTTCATTCAAAAAAAGAACAAGTTGTGATGGTTCTGAGAAAATAATATGCCCTTCAAAGATTATTGGAGAAATTTCATTATAATTTTAATCAAAAATTGAATTCTTTGCAGACGTGTATTGTGTTTTGGGTCTTATTGCATGCCAGTGTGGGATATATGTTCTTCCGGCAAACGCTGACGAAATGTAAGTATTCAACGTATATAATCAACATTTGTATAAATAGCAAGCAATGTCATAATAAAAATATCGACGTAAAGCGTAGAAATACACCCATCGAGCAGCCTTTTCATATACAATAGCTCACCCGAAAGGGGAAACTATGTTGTGCATCACATTTCATAGAGATGCCTTCAAATAAAATGCAGCCTTCATTGAGTTCATAATGATTTATTTATTTTTTTTGTTTTTGCAAAGGATGGGGGTAACTCTAGAACGGAAAGTCACGGCATGCTGAAACTAGAAAGGGTTCATCCTATTATTATCCCAATGCCTCCCACTGAATTTGAAAAATGATCTGTTGTAAACTATATGTTTACAAGCTCTGCGGAAAACACTGTGGACATCATGGTGGAATGGAGTGTCGCAAAACGCTGCATATCGAAATCCAAAGAGAGAGAGAGAGATAGAGAGAAATGAGGTTTAACGTCCACTCGACACAAACTATGTCATTTCGGGACTAACATATGGTTCAATGTTATATCAATCGCTTGCACGTAGAGGTATTTAGCAGTGAAAGGAAACTGGAGGACCCGGAGAACACCCACGAGGTTGGACATGCGACCCTACTCCTTGTCAGTACAACCGGGGGAATCGCAACCACACCAGTTGACTCCCACTGCTAAAGACCCCTACGCGCAAGCGAATTGTGTAAATAAAATTAAACCATATGTTAGTCCCGAAATGACCTAGTTTGTGTCGAGTGGACGTTAAACCCCATTTCTCTCTCTCTCTGTCTGTCTCTCTCTCTGAACACCCCATTGAGAGAATTATTGCCCTTACTAACACATGTCGTGTTTCGTGTTGATTAGATTGGTTTAACAAAATAACAAATAACATGTTGCTATCTTTGTATATTTCAGTGTCGTAGATACCGTTCATTATATTATGCTGTATATGTGTGCTTACGCATCCGTTGCTTGTAGCTTCCATTATATATTGTGGACAATAGTACGTCGTTCCAAAAGCACAAACCTTTCTTGTCTTCAGAAGTTCCTAGCCTTCTGTTGTTCGGTAATGTATTGTGGTAAGTAGTATTTTACGTAATCCGCAAATGGACTATTTACCGTGTACAAAATACACGACAAACTGGGAACAGGTGTCCGGAATTCATCAAATTCATCACTTTTTATGCAAACCGATTCTTAAAAATACATTCCCTTGATTTAATAACGTGTTTTGTTGTAAGTGCAGAGTGTATGTATAGTGTCCGCCGTTTTGTCTTATTATGTGTTTATCATTACTTGCCCTTGTGGGTTGGGTTATCGATACTTATGTTCCTTTTACTTTTGGAATGACATAAACTTATTTTCAGCCCGGGGACACTTTACCATGTGTATTGCAACGTGATAGATTTTTTTACATCTGGAAAGCCGATAGTTCCATAGTTGACTTAACACCAAAAACTGAAACGCAGAAGAAACAAACGAAACGGAACGAAATTGTAGTTAGTTAAGGCTTACCTCATCTCCTAACAGCATTTAGTTGGAAACTCGCCAGGTCAACTTCCAAAGATTCGGATTTTGTACACAATCCCAGATGAAATGCCGTAAGGAGCAGCTGCCCAAAGTGATCCTGGACCCCCTGTGTCTACTGGCATTGCACACACAATGCTATCGTCAATTGTCAGCCATAACGGGAATTATATTTCCTAGACACCGATCCTGGTACTACGTCCGTGTTGCTTATTGATTTACGGATCATTTGTCGTTTAGGAAGTCCATGTTCTATTTGTTCTGCCTTTCTTTATTGTCACTGATTATCCCCGGTGATTTGAATAGTAATAAGATCATATTGTGTCGTATTGTTAAGCAGTCTGTGTTCTCTGTTTTCAGGGATGAACTTAACATTTGGAATTCTGATGTTACGTGATGTTACCATGCTATACCAGACCATCTTCGCCATTGTCAACATGGTACAGAATTTGTTAATTGTAATCAGATTTATCGCCGGATTTTGGTCAAACGATGAAATAGATGACGATGAGCAGCCAATAACAGAAACAGAGTCCCAATCGTCAAACGATAATGATGGCATTCTTGGACCACTTGACCCCGATAATGATGGAGATGCAAACACGCTCACAAATATTGGTGTCGTTGATAACATTGGAAACCATGAGGAAAAGAAACCACTGACGGAAACCAGTCTTGAACCTATCGTGGCAGTCGATCTCGATAGAGAAACACAGCCGGTATTATTCTTCACGGACTTCACTGATGCTAAACGACCTTTCGCAACAACTGATTTTGTTGGAATTACTCAACCTGTGGCATCGTCTGTTTAATAAATGCTAGTTGATATATGATCCTTAATATATAGCCTGCGATTCCAAAACAAGTCCTGACAACCAAAATCATTGCATCTTTCCAGATACCTCATAACAAACATGAATTTGAGTTTTTATTTGATTTTCCATTGTCATTGCAAATATCATACTTGAGATCATTTAATTTTGAGGACCAAACTTATAACCCAGTTATTCTGGAAGGAAAATACCCCGAAGTTATTTTAATTTACATTTCCAATTTTGCAAAAATACCCCACATCCTATCTGTTGAATGTATAACCACTTCTTTTAGTTTATCTCTAACAGGTTTTCTTTTTATAAATATAGAAATAGCTTTGATTTTTGTTATTTGTGCCTAACTTTAGATTATCCTGTCTCAATTGCCTTGATTTATGTTATTTGTTAGTTGCTTTTTTTTGTTCGATTTTAATTATGATAGTTTTATTTTTTATTTCAGTTATTGTCTGAACTATATTGGGGCTATTTTTATGACATAATTGTTCTTTCACAAACAGAACTGATAGGAATTTCAAATGGTGCTCTCATCTGATCCGCTTATTTAATGTCCATTTATATCCAATCCGGGAGCCACGGTGGCTAGGTGGTTAAGACGCAGGCTCGCTAGCCTGGAGGTCGGGTGTTCGATCCCTGCATTGGCCGAGAAAGTTCATCAGGATTTTCCGACGTGGTTTCCCCTTGTAAGTGGTGCAGAACGGAGGGCCTGACAATGACAGCTGTCTAGTCCTTCGTATGAGACGAAAAACCGAGGTCCCGTGTATATATTGGAATGCAGTTGGAATTCGATATAAGAGTAGGCGTTAGTGCAGCTGCCCGGGCAAATTTTCCCTCATAGAACACTGTATGGCGTATGCCCGTCTTCATTAGCCCAGTATAGGGGTAGAACGTTAAACCCCATTTCATTTCTATCCAATCTGTCGATCACCGGTTATTAACAACTCTACTCAATTTGATAAAACATTACAGTGTTTTATGAATTCAAGTATTAATCAACTCTTTAGACCAACGGATGGCTTGGATATTAATAGATCAAACTATCCCCGCCATTTGATCGGTTAACGAACAAGTGGAAAATCGAGACTTCTTTTATTATCGTAGTAATGACAATCGAGGCTACGATATTATTGCTGAAACTTCAAATATTCATAACTTCGATCAGAAACAAGGAATGTTTCTGAAATGTTTAATATATTTATTATATTTTTTCGAACTATGCTTTTATAGCAAGAACGAACACTTTTTTTTTTTATCGAAATCTTATATAATGTATCTTTAAGTATATTATAATTTGCTTCAATTATTTAATCTCAAGGGGGTTTGGATGGCCGAATGGTTAGCACGTGCGCGCTGTGTGATAAGGTCTGTCATTGAGTCAACTGGCGTGGTTTTGATTCTCCGGTTATATGTTACAAGGAGTAGGGTCACCTGTCGATCCTCGGGTGTTTTCTCCGGGTCCTCCGATTTCCTCCCACTGCTAAAGACCCCTACGCGCAAGCGAATTATTGAAATTAAACTCATCCATATGTTTGTCCCATAATGACCTAATTTGTGTCAAGTGGACGTTAAACTCCATTTCTCTTTCTCTCTCCTAAATTTCAAACCTTTTGTTATTTTTTGTTGATAATTTTAGTTTGTTATTAGTTAATTAAGCTTTACCTTAATTCAAAGTCTTAAAAGACTTTTATTTTGTGTTTTTGTGTTTAGCAGCAAACCTTTTTGTCTCTTTATTGACCCTTGTTTAGTGAATTATTTCAAAATAAAATCCAACCACGAATATACAATTCTGTCCCATTAGTCCACCACCGATTAGTATCTCCTGCGTTTTCTAAATTAAACATCATGCTTTTATGAATATCTTATCTTATTTGTTTTGATTTGTTTGGAAATAATAATTAATAAAAAAACCCATACAAGCCCACAACGATAAGAACTCCCATCAATGTTTAATTGGGCTCTGAGTTAACCGATATACTTATGATGTATTTATAGGTATTTGCTACGCTTTTATATTTGATAATATTTATACCCTCGATGACATTTATAGGGTTTTCGGGAAAAGGGCGGTAATTCTAGAACGGAACACTGGTAGTTGGATCATTGCATGATCCCAAAACTTCACACCCCATTTGACATTTTTGTTTAAATCGGTTGGCTCTATCGCATTCACAAGGTTTTCGGTTTCCGACCAGGAAGGTTACGAAACGTTTGGATATCGATAAGGCGTGTTATCTCATGACCTCAATAATAACACCAAATTTTAACAATTCCGTTACAACTGCATGTAATAATATTGATGGATAGATTTGTGCAAAACAACACATATGTATAACAATATTATGGGCTTGACTAATTATTGTTACAGATCGATAGACAAGCAAAACAGCAAGTGAAACAACGGAAATCTGTGATAATATGATACATGAATTGGACTATAATAATCACATTTGTCATATGCCATCGTCATGGTTCAGTTACTAATAGGTGTTTGTTGATCAAATTAGGTAATACTTCTTGGTGGTATGCAAGGTATGAGGCATGTCCATTCCATATTTGGCTAATTCGTGACATCAGTGGGCATGAGTTACCAACGGCGTCATTTCAAACACCATGTAATTTCTTAGAGAGAAGACACGCATTGTGAGATATATCATCTTGGGAAAGACCGTTAAGGTTCAAAAGTCACCATCTTGATTCAGAATGCCCCGTTATGTCGTAGGAGAGCCATATGATGTAGTGGGTTCAGTCAGTAAAGAATTACAAATATAACCAGAGACAATACATGTACTAGACGATCACAAGGCTATTAAAATATGTAGCAGAGGAGAGAGGATACGCCGTCACACGTTGGATGTTGGAAGTTTTGGCATCTGTACTTTCCACACCTAACCAGCGACGCATAACACTGCATAGTGATACATGTAGTCTCGTTTGCATAGTAAATTAGGACGTATAATTTTGATTTTTAACGAAGTTGTCCACTTTGGCATTTGGCCGATTTAGCAAAACGAAGCCAAAGTACAATACATCGCTCTATTGTTTATTCCATATCGTCATTCAGAGTTACCACTTTTTTCGAAACCATTAACATTGTGACCGCGATACAGGCTACAGTTTTAGTGGATTTTACTTTCAAATTTCGTGTGCAACATTGAGGTGGCTGGAAGGACAACCTCTGTCGCTATTTAGCATTCCGTGACATTTATTCCGTTAGGGATCGATGCTACATTTTTTTTTAAATGTTTGTTTTATTTTTCAAATTAGGTGGTATTTATTGGAGCCAGGAGAGGAAATTCTATTTATATTCAACGATGCGCGTGTTTCCGTAAACACGGGAAACGAATCCTTCTAACTTCAAAACTCAGATTACTTGGAATCAACTTGATGTTTCCAAGCTTTAGGTATGGATGGTCTGTTGCAGATTCTCGTCCGATAACTGAAGTTAAGTAACGTCGGGACGGTTAGTACGTAGATGCGCGACAGCCTGGGAACACGGGTGTTGTAGACGCGATCTTTAATTGATGCTTTGCGCTATTTCATCCCGAATAAACGTGTTTTTAGCAGTCGACAAGTTGTTGAGGGGGTTCTTAAACAGTCACTGAAAGTTTATTCATTACGTCCTATGATTTGCACACTAGCTTCGTTAGCCACAGTTGTGTAGCGTTCTCGATCAATTTGCAAAGTATACTTCTTTGTTGTTTGGTCCTGTCTACCGTGTCTTAGGGGAGAAACACTTGGATGAGTTCTTGGCTTGTCCTTTATAACAAGGTGATATTTTAATTTTGTGGGATTACTAAATCTAGATTGTGGTAACGACAGAAGGAAAGGTATTGGATTCTTCAAAACCCGGACAAAACCCACGAGGTTGGACAAGCGACCCTACTCCTTGTGGACGTTAAACCCCATTTCTCTCTCTCTCTCTCTCTCTCTCCCTCCCTCCCTCCCTCCCCCTCCCCTCTCTCTCTCTCTAAAGATGTAAGATAGTTACCAGGAAGATATCACCATTTTGACAGATCCCGTTTGTATCATCCGGTAGATGGATGGGGTTGGGGAGGGTTATGCAAAGCTATCGGCCACATGTCCTTTTAGTCCTGCGACCGATGCTGAGGACCCAACATTTCATGGAATCGGACCGCTGCGGCAAATAACAGCATCCTGTATTAATATACCCTCAATGTCTGCTACCCCCTCACCTCTTGTACCTTACGATTCACCAAGAAGATGTTAATGTGCCAGGAAAATATTTATATTTCATGAACTATAATAATTTTCTCGGGCGCCCTATTATATTTAAAACCATTATTACAGCGGCATATTTCGACATATATGTGTTATTTTAAACAAATGTAATTTTAATTAGTTATTTAATTATTAATTAGCTAATTGTTCAAAAACCTCCAGGCTGACAGGGATCCAGTAGCGAAAACTGGATTCAGCGGGTCCGATTCCATATAGAACCGTCGAGAAAAAACTTGTCTCGAAAAATTTGGGACCCCTTGTTATTTAGTAAACTATTTTAAAGGTGTAAAGGTAGTGTTTGAGGAATTTTACGTCAGTCCATCATATTTTGACCCGACTCTTCTTTTGGTCAAGGGAGCCACGGTGGCTAAGTAAGTAGGACGCTGGCTAGCTAGTCTGGAGGTCGCGGGTCCGATCCCGGTGTTGGCCTAGAAAGTTCCTCGGCATTTTCTGGCGTGGTTTACCTTTGTCAGTAATGCAGGGGGACAGCTGTCTAGTTATTCGTATGGAACGAATACCGGGTGGGGGGTATGGCCGAATGGTTAGCACGTGCGTGCTGTATCATACGACCTGTCATTGAGTCAACTGGCGTGGTTTCGAATCCCCGGTTGTACGTGACAAGGAGTAGGGTCGCCTGTTCAACCTCGTGGGTTTTTCTCCCGGTCCTCCGGTTTCCTCCCACTGCTAAAGACCTCTACGCGCAAGGGTATTATTGAAATAAAATTAAACCATATGTTAGTCCCGAAATGACCTAGTTTGTGTCAAGTGGACATTAAACCCCATTTTTTTCTCTCTCTCTCTCTCTCTCTCTCTCTCTCTCTCTCTCTCTCTCTCTCTTTCTCTCTATTTTATACCAAGATCTGATTATTACTTTTGCTTTATTGTATTATTTTGTTATTTTTACACAATTGCCCGTTGTTGTAATCTTTAACAATGCGAGTTAAAATTATATCGTCTGCTGGAATAATGTACGCCTGCCATTTTACTTGCAACATTTACAGTTACTCATTTGCCACCTTAAAGATGCATTATGTAAAAGTTAATATATATCTATTGCAGGTTTAACGTTTGACCTCAAATTATTAATTAGACAAATACTTACATGGCAAGCCCATAATCTAACCTCTTTTATAGCTAGAACTGCTAGCTCTTTATCTAAATATTACATAATAAAGCATCTTTATCCAAATCTTACATAATGCATCTTTAATAAAGTAAATTGACAAGTCAAAGTGAAACTGAAAATTAAAAACGTTATTTACAGGGTATAAACACAAGAGGGATCATTTGTGATTTAGCGCCAACACCCCCCCCCCCCCTCCCCCACGTGATTATTTGGAATTGTATATCTGCAAACAGTACTACTTCTCTGGTGTTATGGGGGACATTTTTCCCGTACAACTGTCAAAGGTTCTTTCACGCCATAGCCTATACATTTATCTCCCTCACAACATCACACGCGGGCATATTTTAACCGCCCTAACACTACAAGCATATGACACATATTACTGACATTTTCAGAATACGTTATGATCAGGGGCAGTAAGCGTTGAACAAAATCTGGATTGGCGGACAGACGGACAACAATATACGGCGTCGTAAACAATAATGCCAGTGGGCAAGATGATAAATCTGTTTATTTTTGCATTCTAGTTATCATTTCTTTCATATTCGATTGAATCTGCATTCAAGGGAAACTGAAAATAATAAAAAAAACATGTCATCTTGTGTTAGAACTTTAAGCAAAATCAGACTCAAATGTATAACAAAACATTCGTATTTAACAAATAGGGACAACTAACATGCTTGAGCTTTTGAGGGAGTGTGTCTTTTCTGCCCGTTCAATCAAATCTATCCCAAGTACAGCAACTTGACAGCTTTTCGCTTAATCTGGGGTCTTCCCTAAAACTTTGGACAGTTATTTTAGGGATAAAAACGATGAAAGTCTTGTTCGTCTCCATACAGTATTGATTACATTGTATTCGTGTTGATAGCCTCGTTTGTCACGCAATTAGTTTTTCTGCAATATTCTGCTAGGCACTGGTTATTTGGACATAATAAATCCGTGAGTCATGACGTAACGTTATGTAACCATATTTGGTCCAATTTAGAGCTTTGTTTAAAGCGTAATCGTATTGTAACGCAGTTAGCTATTGGTTGTTAATCGGACTATTGGCCAGTCATAATTTGCAACAGGAATTTGCTTACGTTACAGCAGTGATTGAGTGGGATTAGCTATAATCAAAACGAAACACTGCGAGGAGTATGAGTTTTACTGGATATTTAAAGTCCCCTTATATAGTAAAGTAAGTGTACGAGAACGGAATTATTGAGTAAACTAGCTCTCTTGGCGTAACAATCAGAACTCAAAATAACTCAGTTAATAACTTTATAAAACATTAAATAAAAATATATTTGTCTTACGCGCAAAACGGTTCGCTACATGATGGAGCTGAAATGTGAAAAATTATCTTTATCAATAAATTCGGCATTGCGCAAAAAATTTAAAATAACGACAAATTTCTTCTGATTATTGTGTCATATTACACAATACTCACGATTCTAACCCAATACTACAAAATACAACCACATACAGGTAAATGGTCCGACCCTCTCATTACTTGTCATTCTCGCACAAATAGGGTATAACGTCCACAAACTAGGTTGTTTTGGGACTAACATTTGGTTCAAGTTAATTTCAGTAATTCCCTAGGTGTCTTTAGCATTGAAAGGAAACCGGAGGACCCAGAGAAAACCCACGAGGTTGGACAGGCGACCTTACTCCTTGTCACATACAGGCGGGAAATCGAAACCACGCCACTTTACTCAATGATAGACTTTATGATACAACGCCCACGCGCTAACCATTCGGCAACCCAACCCTTCCTGCCCTTACCCCCATCGGTTCATAAATCATGGGTATCAGCTTAACAGTGTTAGTGCTTAACATTAGGTCATTACTAAAATAATATGAATCCATCATTTCAAGATAAGATTTAAGAAACCAAATACACCGTGTTTAAATACAGCCTACAAGTACAACGCGACGGGTAAATCCGACTAGTTTGTTTTTTCTGCATATGATATAAAATATATTCTATTTACAAGATAACTATTAACTCAGGGAATACCAACAATCGAATTCGAAATAGTTCGATAAAGGACTAAAACTGAAGATATGATCGAGTAAAGCATACGAATTAAGGAATAATACACTTACTAACGCAAGTACCATTGATGCACACCCTATCTTCGCATTCGGCAACAGTGTTACAGTCACCTGATAAAGATTTAAAAAACGGGTTTTTATATCACAGGGATCTGATATATTCAAACCAAAGTATCATATGTGCCTATAAATATTATATTGAAACATGTCAAACTAATGAAATCGACAGGTCTTCAAAATAGAAAACGTAGAGGTTGACCACATTGGACAGGGAACTTTTATGCCATCAGGAAATCTGATCTCTATCATGTTCCAATGTTTTTATCTTGGCGCAGACATTTCGTATTTTCCATGCTGAGACTTGCCCGAATGATATTTCAAAGTCGGCATAGCCCCGTGCCCTAACTCGATGTAACGTCCATAATGCACGACCACCTAATGAACGAAAGAAAATAGGCTTGGTGGCGCAAATTTAATGAAACAATCAATGCAATTGCACATGTGCTCTGCAGCATGTTCATTAATCAATACTTTTCGAATCAGAAAAATCGTAGATACATTACTGATGACATTTAGAGTAATTCCCATTTTGTAAAACCGTTTTACGTGACCTTTAGATCCTTAAAGGCCCCTTGGATTGGATGTACCCCAAAACGAACTATGAAATCTCGTAGTCCGATTAAATATTTTTAGAAACCGTATACAGGCTTCGTTTTCAGTTTCGCTTTCTTTACTAGCACTAAAAATACCGAAAATTCCGAACTTTCAATATGCAATGTTCATATTTTCATTGTTTACTGACCACTACAAACGCCATTCACACAGTTTGTGTTGACTGGACAAAATCCAGACCCACATGGTTCGCCTGAAATACATAACATATAAAAATAATAAAAGCATTACTTAGAATACTATCAACCTTAGTAACTCAGACTGAGTATTGATTTCAAATATCGTTAATACCCTTGTTGTCTCAGTACAGTACATGACCAGAAACCCATTCAGGGACGGATGCAGGAGTTTTTGCAGGAGGGGGTTTGCCCGTTACTTGAGACAATGTATCTTTGTGGGGTAGGGGCGGGGGCCCCCGTCTTGAAAATGTTTGAGAAATAGATGGTCTCTATCGTCATTTTGGCGTATATATATACACGCGGAATTTTTTTTTAAAACGTCATTTTTTATGATGAATTACTGTGACCCAGTTTCATTGAAGTTTGCTTGTTCTCTTCTTGCACATTTGTCTCCAAGAAAACACCAAATTAAAACAAGATTGGGCTACACCGTGCACCATTGATACGAACTAGTGTATACATCTAAGTGGTGAAAAGTTGTGACATTTGGATTAATACATATAAAGGATCACTGTTCGATCTGGTAAAAGGGCGGTTGCGATAAAAAGATAATCATATTAAAACCCAATGACTACAAAATAATACCTGTTGGAGCGGCTGCGAGCATGGGCGACACATGGGCGTACGACCCCCCCCCCCATTGTTTTTTTTTGGGGGGGGGGGGCTCAATACTCTTGGACACCCCCCCCCCCCCAAAAAAAAAACCCCAAAAAAATTACATAGTAGGCCCCAACTCCTATTTATTTACAACAATTATTAGGATTAGTTAAGATTCTATCTGTATAAAACCTGTACATATCCCAATATGTTGGTGTGATGTTTTAGTTTAACCCAGTAAAATATGCCAAAACAGTGTTTACAGAAGATTGAAACTTTAAAAACAAATTATGGGGGTGCCCCACCCCACCCCAGGGAGGGAGACCCTACCACACTCTCCCTGTCACGCTTCATCTGCTGCTGCGCAGCCTCGCGCCTCCGGCGTCACAGATTGTTAACATTTTTTATAATTTCATTTGCGGACCCCCCCCCCCATATATATTTCACGGCTACGCCTCTGGATTAATGAATTTCCTGAAATATTTAAAGCAAACTATCGTATTATATTCGTTGGAGATCGTTCTTACATCATTTTTATAATGGTTTTATCTGTAAAAGATAACATCATTAATGGATGGGTTCAAATAAGTATAGCAGGTTATTAGCAACGAAAACACAAGTATATAGTTTATATAAAACTGCTAAAAATTACTGGTAAAAAGGATCATGCAGAATTAACATACCTTGAACTCGTTTTCGACAACTAAAACCAGCACATACTGTAGAATCAATAGTTGCTTAAAAGATAAATAAAACATAGTTTGCCACCCAACGAAATATTTTTCAACAAAGTGTTATGCTATATTAGGGGGGTTGGATGACTGAATGGTTAGCACATGCGCGCTGTATCATAAAGCCTGTCAATGAGTCACTTGGCGTGGTTTCGAATCCCCGGTTGTACGTGACAAGGAGTAGGGTCGCTTATCGAACCTCGTGGGTTTTCTAGTTTGTGTCGAGTGGCCGTTAAAACCCATTTCGCTCTCTATATATACTATATTACTGCTCTTATAATGACCCGTACATTGTTAAAGTAGGCGTTAAACCCCAGAGCATTCCTTACATTGTTAACACAATTTATTGGGTGTAGCTGCTCTGGAAATATCATATCGTCAAACATCAGTTCTGAGAGAGAGAGAGAGAGAGAGAGGGGGGGGGGGGTATTTCGGGACTAACTTATGGTTTAACTTTATTTCAATAATTCACTTGCGCGTAGGGGTCTTTAGCAGTGGGAGGAAACCAGAGGACCCGGAGAAAACCCACGAGATTGGACAGGCGACCCTACTCCTTGTCACGTACAATTGGGGATTCGAAACCACGCCAGTTGACATCAGTTATTCTCATTATGATTTTATACCAATTAACGAGACTGCTTCCGGCTAAATTACCATGTGTTGAATAGTGCGATGAAATGTCGATTATTGTTGATGCCACGCTTTGATTTGTTTGGAATAATTCGGTTATCGTCATCATATTAAAGGAAGACAATTATGTATATTTTATTTGTTGATTAATTCATTTTTAGACCATATTTTAAGAATTTGAGTTTGTCTACGTTTTAGGATCAGTGATATGAACAATTTTATCGTATGTGTTTCGTCCACAGATGTAGGGTGGATTGATTATATAATATAATATATACACACAATATAATACATATTGAATACTGTCACATATGTTATATAAATCATATATAAAGATAGATAATATTGTGTAAGTACTGATATAACCGACAACACACCATTAATAAATATACTATAGATATGAACAAAGATGTTAATACCAAGGCATTGGTCTAATATTCTACACGTACTTACAATATCATATTATATCCGAGAACATAAATAACAACAATAGTATAACTACTGGATAGATAGATATTATTTAATATTCTATACGTACCCTGGGTTGTACACTTATCTCTGAAGCACATTTCACTCGCATTACAAACAATACCTCCACAGTCTAATGCTGAAAAGTAACAAAGATGTAGTTTGAAAGGAAATGAAATTGGATTTAACTGGTCTGCAGATAACGATGCAAGCAATTAATATTGTCATGACAATTCCACCGCATGTCTAAGGCATGTTATTTGTGTGTCCATTTGTTGAAACGGAAAGTAAATTCTAAATATTAAACAAAATGCTAAACTATAGGCTCCCAATGCCCTGTGGTAAGTGCCCCAAAGGATGTACTATAGACGTCTACGTATACCTACAGAGATGACAGCCAAGCATATTCGATAAATACACATAGTTACGAATTTGGTGTTTTACAAATGACAAACATTTCACCCATATAGATTCTGATAACTCAGGGGGTCTTGTTCGAGCACCACTCACGAGATTTTGCGTCATTTAGTGAGAGAAACTGGATAATCAGAATACTAGACACGATACGCAGAGTTTTCATTTAGAGCTTCAACAACCAAACAACTATGTTTAAGATACGGTGACCCACCATAAATAAATATCTCCATATATCTCGACAATTTCGCCACAATATTTATATATATGCCAAGCCTCAAATCAGTTTCACACAATTATAGTCACTAAATAAACGATCATGTTGTACTTAATAAGCTATGGCCAATAATCATCTATAAATAATAGACTGAAAACTGGTTCCATGTGTCGTCCATAACATCCAGACACTTTTGAGTAAAAGATAGGTTACGTGCCCTTGTTTTGAAATTAGTCTCGCTTAACCAGTCTATCGACCATTCTAAGGCTGATTGACAGGTCGGGATAACCAAGACTACTTTTTTACGAAACATAACAGAAAGCTAGAACAAGAAATTGAATTTAGAAATGAGCACGTTAGCTAGCTCAACAATTGTTTTAAGAAGCTTGTAAAAGTAAAATGAAACTACTGCTAGTATCATGTTCCTGTCTAACCCGAGTGTTTCAGAGATAGTATTTGTACTAAACCAAAAGATGCCGCTCTTAACGGTACAGTTAATGATAAAGCGATTTAAAAAATGAAACGAACGTAATTTCTAAATCTGCTGTAATAACCAAGAAGCTTAATTTTTCTGCTATTCAAAATCGTCAACAATCAATTTTTTACGGCTGTAATAGTTGATAGATTTGTAGAGAATTGCACGTGCCATGGCTATTTATAGTATCATACTGTCAGAAAGTTGGCCTCGACACGGCGAATGTGCACGCTTCAGTGGTAGTCTCGAACTATCAGCGGTTGACTGTATTTCTGTAGCTGCATGGGTCACCCTATTTAAGACTAAGAGTTTTTACTTACCGTCTGACAGACATACGATGACTTTACAAGTCTTAAAATCTAATATACACAGTGTTTCATTGCATACCCGATCTTAAAAATATTAACAGATTAATATAACAGATTAATATTAACAGATTAATATAACAGTCATCATAAAACCACAACATTAGTAGTAGTAGTAGTACCCGATAAAAGCCAGTGAGAGAGAGATAGAGAAAAATGGGGTTTAAAGTCCACTCAACACAAACTAGGTCATTTCGGGACTCACACATGGTTTAACTTTATTTCAATAATTAGCTTGCGCGTACGGGTCTTTAGCAGTGGGAGGAAACCGGAGGACCCGGGGAAAACCGACGAGGTTGGACAGGCGACTCTACTCCTTGTCACGTACAACCGGGGATTAGAAACCACACCAGTTGACTCAATGACAGGCCTTATGATACAGCACGCACGTGCTAACCATTCAGCCATCCGCCTCCCTCCCCCCCGATAAAAGCCAAGTTTGGACCTCTTTGGGGTTGGATGGCCGAACTGTTATCACGTGCGTGCTGTATCATAAGGTCTGTCACTGATTTAACTGGCGTGGTTTCGATTCCCCGGTTGTACGTGACAAGTAGGGTCGACTGTCCAACCTCGTGGGTTTTCTCTGGGTCCTCCGGTTTCCTAACACTGCTAAAGACCGCTACGCTCAAGCGGATTATGACAACCTTTACAACCATATTAATATTTTATACTTAGTTTCAAACTTGGAGCACATACCTCTGCAATCATCTCCACCAAAAGACGGAGGACAAACACAGGTACCATTAACACACGTACCATTGTTCAGACATCGATTACCACAAGGGTCAACTAAAATGGAAAATATTTCTTTAAAAACAAAACTGGGTGGATGATGTGAGTGCAGTTGGGCCAACGTCCTCACAAACACTTCATGTAAACAGTCACATAAAAGAGAAGCGCTACCCCGAAAAACACAGAATAATTCAATGAACGATTTAGTCAAAATCACGAAATACATAGAGGTCTATTTAGATAAGATAAATTAATATTGTTGAATAGTGTTATCAGATGTTCTTGGTACAGCACGTCCGTGATTCATAAAGATTAGTAAAATAATGAAACGCATTTTCGTTGACATATAAAAACACAAATATTCGTGGTTTGACGGTGTGGAATTATCAACCGAAATATGTGGACGGGCATTCTTACTCTTTCCATGTAACAACATGTGAGCATTGCTGTTTAACTTCTACTCGACACAAACAACTAGGTCATTTCCGCATGGTTCAACTTTATTTCAATAATTCGCTTACACGTAGGGGTCTTTACCAGTGGGAAGAAACTGGTGGACCCGGAGAAAACCCACGAGGTTGGACAGGCGACTTACTCCCTGTCACGTGCAAGCGGGAAACTTGAAACCACGCCAATTGATTCAATTCCAGTAGTTTCGAAATGTGGTAATTCAAAGTGTAAAACCTGTGACATTATCATTGAGGGATCATCCATTAAAATTAATGATGATAATACATTTTATATCAAACAGGCAATGAATTGCCAATCGAACTATGTAATTACCTTATAGCGTGTCCGGTATGCAAGGGAAGGTATATAGGAAAGACCCAAATGATGCTTAGGTTGAGAATGAACCTCCATCGACAGCACATACTTCAACCAAAATACAGGATATCCCGCTCAGTGAGCATCTTGAAGTATGTGGTGGGGGCAAATTTAGTGTTTTTCCTTGGAGGCAAAAAAAGCTATTTTATGGAGAAGTACCACCCGAAACTTAATTCTAAATAAGAGAATAATTAAATTAAATTAAATAAAATAAAGACCGTGGTGGGATTGAATATTTACAACCATTACATATTAATAAGTAAATTACATACTTCGATTTGCAATTCATATTTTGTTTAACATAGAATTTAACATGTAATATGTATGTAATAACATGTTAAATTCTATGTTAAACAAAATATGAATTGCAAATCGAAGTATGTAATTTACTTATTAATATGTAATTGTTGTAATGGCAAGTACATTGGAAAAACTACTGATCAGTTGAATTTACGAATTAACCAACATCGATCTAATATAAAACTCGCAAGAAATAGAGTTTTGGATATTTGAGGTAAAGGTCAATTCAAGATATTTCCTTTGTACAAACTCAATATTAGTGATAATGATCTCTTGGAAACAAAAGAAAGCAACTTTATCGCTAAATATAACCCAATTTTGAATGCTAAGGGGTGATTATTTTAATTATGTTTGATATTTAATTAATGTTATTTCGTTTTAATTTTTATATTTCACATAGTCATTGTCCTCTGTTATGACGTAACGTTATTGTAACAGCATAGTAACGCATTAAAATGGCCTGACGATTCGTTTGATAACGATGAAAGTACTAGCCAAAATTTTAATTTTTAGTATTTTTTCTCTAATACTTGAATTTTACTTATATGATTAACTGAGAGTTAGATCGTGTTATATATTTTTTTCTTATATATATATATATATATATATATATATATATATATATATATCTCATAGATCTTTGAGATATAAACACATATTTTAAGTTTCATCAAAGTCGGATAACGACTGTGACTTTTAGAGGGCTCACAAGCTACAAATGTGAGTTTTCGTACAGTCCATGAAGTTACGGTCCGATACGTGCTAATATCGGAAGAAACCGGGGTCTTTGACAGACATCATCAAAATGTATTAACTATCTTACCAGTGCAGCAGGAATCACACAGATTTGTTTCTTTTACTTTTGAACAACTGATGGCTTTCAGATTTCGCCTCCGTCCAACTTGTGAAGAATACCCTCTCCTCCTGTGTCCGCTGACAGGCACAGCAACGATAAAGATAACAGCAATCGACAAAATAACACGCATTGTGATAGTCAATTGAATAACAAGAATATTAACCACAGAATGTATCACGTATTTTATACACAATCAGCTGGTAACACATGTTGTTGTTGTTGACTGAAGTTGCTATTAAATCGAGGAAGTAATATAAACTTATGTTTGTGATTCTCTGCACGAAAATTAAACGATCAAAACTAGAAACAGCTTTCATTTATTTACACTTGCTGCTCGATATAGAATCGGGGAGCCACGGTGGCTAAGTGGGTAAGAGGTTGGCGCGTGTTCGATCCCTGCATTGGCCGAGAAAGTTCATCGGGATATTCCGACGTGGTGTCCCATTGTCAGTGGTTTAGGAAAGAGGGTCTGGCAAGGACAGCTGTCTAAAAACCAAGGTCCCTTTTATACATTGGCGTGCACGTAAAAGATCCCTTGGCAGTTGGAATTCGATATAACAGTAGGTCATAGTGCCGCTGCCCTGGCAAAATTTCCCTCATATGCCCGTATGCCTGTTTTCATTAGCCCATATTTGATTCCTATCATAGAAATTAATTGTATGGAAACTTTCTATGATTATTTTACTTCAAATTTAAGCTACAATCGATCTTCGTGAAACGATTAAAATTTAAAATTTCATTTTGATTTTAGGTAAAATCTATTTTAGTTGTTATGAAATACAGAATATTAAACCATCTGCCACTCTTCCATGCCGCTGTATTAAGCGTCCATTTTTATCGATCCCATTGTATAATCTGTCGGGTTTTCAGCGGATTGGAATACCTTACATGTCAATCTATAATAATATCTTCATAATACATCCTGGTTATTATACGATTTCCTTGAAATGAATTTTACGACCATACCAGGAGATTGACCTTTCAACCATTACCACCAACAGGCTGGCAGTGTGGAGTCAGCTCGATTGTCATTTCTCGATATTGGTGGATAACAAAAAACGAGCTACTCGTTTTTCGATATTCAAACTTGAATCTAAAAAAGACAGATTTGATGGATGTATGTCTACAGAATATCTCCAAAACACATTTGATTAAAAAAGTGTTCTAAAACCAACTAAAGACGTCATAAAAGAGAATGCCTGTTTAGTTTTTTTGATATTGGCGAATGTCGAAAAACGAGCTAATCGTTTTTCAATATTCAAACTTAAATCTCAGAAAAGCAGATTTGATGGATGTATATCTACAAAATGTCTCCAAAACACATTTAATTAAATAAGTTTTCTAAAACCAACAAAAGATATCATTAATGAATATGCCGGAGCAGTGGATGTACATCTACAGAATTTCTCCAAACACATTTGATTAAATAAGTTTTCTAAAACGAACTAAAGATATCATAAATGGGGATGTCTGAACCCTTTCTCTGTAGTAAGATTGGTAGAATGTTTGCTTTTTATACGCCCACATTTTCATGTGGACGTATATTGTCGTCGTCCCTGTCCGTCCGTCCAGAATTGTTTGTGAACAGTCGACAGGTCACAATTTTTATCCGATTGCAATGAAACTTGAAATATAGGTTTATCACACTAAGATCTCGGTTCCTTTCGATATTGGCATGTATCGGACTGTAACTTCATGGATTATGGCCCCTGTTTGTACGAAAAATCACGTTTTTAGCTTGTGAACACTGTAGAGGCCACAATTTTTATCCGATTTGGTTCAACTTGAAATGTATGCTTATAACCCAAAGATCTCGGTTCCTTTTGATATTCGCGCATATCGGAACGTAACTTCCTGAATTATTGCCCCTGATTGTACGAAAAATCGCGTTTTTAGCTTGTGGACCCTATAGAGGTCATAATTTTTATCCGATTTAAAAAACGTATTATTATATCACCGTTACACCCTAAGGACGACTGAGTTCGAATTTCGTGAAAATCGGCCCAAAACTGACAGACAAAATGGCCGCCCTTCATTCTCAAATAGCGTAAAAATATGGTATATCAAGGTTGTGGACCCTATAGAGGTCACAATTTTTATCCGATTTTGTTGAAACTTGAAATGTAAGTTTTTAACCCAAAGATCTCGGTTCCTTTCGATATTCGCGCATATCGGAATGTAACTTCCTGAATTAGGGCCTCTGATTGTACGAAAAATCACGTTTTTAGCTTGTGGACCCTATAGAGGTCATAATTTTTATCCGATTTAAAAAAAAACGTATTATTATATCACAGTTACACCCTAAGGACGACTGAGTTTGAATTTCGTGAAAATCGGCCTAAAAGTGACAGACAAAATGGCCGCCCTTCGTTCTCAAATAGCATAAAAATATGGTATATCAAGGTTGTGGATCCTATAGAAGTCACAATTTTTAATCAATTTTGTTGAAACTTGAAATGTAAGTTTATAACCCAAAGATCTCGGTTCCTTTCGATATTCGCACATATCGGACCGTAACTTCCTGAAGTATGTCCCCTGATTGTACGAAAAATCGCGTTTTTAGCTTGTGGGCCCTATAGAGGTTATAATTGTTATCCGATTTAAAAAAAAACCGTAATATTATATCACCGTTACACCCTTAGGATGGCTGAGTTCGAATTTCGTGAAAATCGGCCCAAAACTGACAGACAAAATGGCAGCCCCTCTTTCTCAAATAGCGTAAAAATATGGTATATCAAGATTGTGGACCCTATAGAGGTCACAATTTTTATCTGATTTTGTTGAAACTTGAAATGTGAGTTTATAACCCAACGATCTCGGTTCCTTTCGATATTTGCGCATATCGAATTGTAATTTTCTGAATTATGGCCCTTGATTGTAGGAAAAATCACTTCCTTTTTAGCTTGTTCACTATCCATCTCTCGAAAATCTGGGCGTATCCTGCCTGGCAGCCGCTGGTTAAATTAAAAATAGCATTATATTAATATTATGTTCTGGTTGGTTACTGGTGTCATATACATCTCACGTATCAAATGAATGAGTAATGGGTTGGCGCATAAAAAGGTATATAATTGGTAAACATAGCTAGTTCTGTGTGAAAACAAAATATCACCTGATCACTAATGACAGAAAAATTCATTCTGTCCTTTTAAGTACTCGCGTCATTAAGCATGAGTCAGTCATTATGATTAATTACGTCATATTTGACCAAGTAGATAAACTGAAAGTCGAAACCCATGTATAGAAAACCATTAGAGCTCTGGGCTTATAGTAAAATTTGAAGCAGAGAAGAGTGTATGGGTGTGTCTCCCTCCCCGGTTTTTCGACATTAGCCAATATAGCAGTGCAGTTCGTATGCCCAGACATCCCCATTTATGATATCTTTAGAAAACTTTTTAGTCTTTTTTAGAAAACTTATTTAATCAAATGTGTTTTAGAGACATTCTTTAGATATAAATCCAACGAAAATCGAGCTAACTTTACACTTCTAACTTAACCTTCAGTTCTGCCGAATAGACCGATGTTCCGCATACACCTATGGAAAGTACCAATTAATAACGAAATTCATGCCACCAACGAAACAATTCTAGGCAGGTATCAATCAAGAAAGAGCTCTCAAATTCAGCTTAGTAGAAGAGATTAGTCTCCTAATACTCTTTTACGCAGACAGGGGGGGGGGGGGGGTTGTTAACGTCCATTCGACACAAACGGGGTTTAACGTTCACTCGACACAAACTAGGTCATTTCGGGACTAATATATAGCTCAATTTTATTTCAATAATTCGCTTGAACGTAGGGTCTTAAGCAGTGGGGGGAAACCATAGGACCCGGGGAATACCCACGAGGTTGGAGAGGCGACCCTACTCTTTGTCACGTGCAACGGGGAAATCGAAACCACGCCAGTTAACTCAACCTTCTGATACAACGAGCGCGCGCTAACTATTCGTCCATCTACCCCCTCCACCATAGTGCTGCGGCCCGGGCAAAATTTTCCTCATAGGACAATGTATGGCGTCTGCCCATCGGCATTAGCCCCATCGAAGCAGAACAGTAGGATGTTAAACCCATTTCATTTCATTTCATTATCATTGTAGATGATGTTGAAGTAACCACGAGTGAAACAAAGAACCAGGATGAAGACCCCAGCAAGGAATATCCGCTCCACCATTCAGCGTATATTGATGATATACATAAATTCATATCAGTATTCGACCAATATAAAGAAAGTATAAATATAGTAGATAACGATGGTAAAACGCCCTTAGAAAGAGCTTGTTTTTCTGAATTTGACATTATACATAAAGTAAAGCTACTTGTTCTTAGAGGTCATACTTCATGCATTACACTTCTTATACATCTGTCTGTCAGCCCCAATTGATTTACTTAAACTTATATTTGATAAAACTCTATATGATACAATGAATGAATTGGATCAAACCGGAAAACTAGAGACTAGAAAACGTTTATTACAAGGTGGGGGGGGGGGTGAGATGTTCTAAATACAAACGAACAAACATTATTGCATTATTCCTGTCAATAAAGTACTTTAATGGCTGTTTGGTATTTGATTGATAACAACTGTAATGTGAACTGAGTAGGTGATACGTATAATAGAACGCCACTATTCAACTATTGTTATAACGATAGGCCACAAGCGGTTGAAAAGATCGAAGTCTTGGTGTGTAATGGAGCTAATTTAGATGCTACAGTTATAGATAACGCATCATTGTTACATATAGCTTGCAGGAACAGTACAGTAGATGTAGTTCAGTATTTGATTGATAATAACTGTAATGTGAACCGTGTAGGTGGTAGGTATAATAGAACACCAGTATTCTATTGTTGTGAAAGAAATGTACCACAAGCGGTGGAAAAGATAAAAGTCTTGGTGAGTAATGGAGCTAATTTAGATGTTACAGATGTAGGTAACGCACCATTGCTACATAAAGCTTGCTGGCGAAGTACCGTAGATGTTGTAAGTATTTGATTGGTAATAACTGTAATGTAAACTATGTAGATAAGTATAATAGAACACCAGTATTATATTGTTGTCAAAGAGATGTAAGACAAGCGGTTGAAAATATGAAAGTCCTGGTGATTAATGGGGCTAATTTAGATGTTACAGCTATAGATAACACATCACCGATACATATAGCATGATGGTATAGTACAGCAGATGTTTTT